TAAAGCAAATCTAGAGATGTACTTTTTAAAAAAATGAAATCATCGTATTTTAAAATATTGGCTCAATTAGAAAAAATACCCTTTGTGTGGGCCAAACAAAACACATCTGCTTGCCTATTCCTTGGCCACTAGTTTATGACCTTGGCTCAGAATTTCAAAAACAAAAGCATGTTTCTTAGTTTCCCTCCCCATTTCTCAACAAATCTGACAAATTTTTTCTTTTCTAGAAGGCAAAAAAGTACAGTAGACCCTTGAAAAACAAGGGTCCACTTAAATGTGGCTTTTTTTCCAATAAATACTGTAAATGTATTTTCTCTTATAATTTTCTTAATAACACTTTCTTTTCTCTGGCTTATTTTAAGAATGTAGAGTATAATACATATAACATAGAAAATATGTGATAATCTACTGTTTATGTTACTGGTGAGGTTTCCAGGCAACCATAGGTTATTAATATTTGTTTTGAGGGGGTCAAAAATTACATTAAAATTTTTCACTGTGCAGAGGGTTGGCAGCCCTAAAACTCTCGCATTATTCAAGAGTCAACTATTGTTAACTCATAGGTAATAGGGAGAAATGGAGAATCCAGGCCTTAGGAACAAAAATCCCTTCCTCCGTCCTAAGTGAAGAAAAAAATTTCTTTATTGGGTAGCAACAACAATGAAAATAAACCACAAAATATTTATCAATAAGTGATATTATATAATGTTATTGAATTACCCTCTTTCAATTAATATTTTTGATCAGGCATGTGGCTTGAATATATAAACAAAATATATTTAGAGATGCTAAGGAATGGGTGGGGTTCAATTATCTTCTTGGTGTGATGGCCAACACCTGGTCTCCCTTCTTTATTACCTAAGAGGTCCAGGGTAGTTGTCTGTTACCCTAGATAAAGGGATTAGGAGGCAGTTCCTCTCTTCCAGACTCTCACGTGTGTACTCAGGCTACAGAACTTTGGAATTCATAGGTTCCTCAGGGATCGGTTTAAATGAATGAAGGAAAGTCAATGAATTATGCACCCTTTAGAGATACTTCTAAACAGTAAAATGCATAGTCACTCCACCACATGACACTCTTCCCCCGCCCCACCCCACCACTTTTCCTATGGTTCCTATGTATGTAAGGCTTATTTTTCAATCATTTCTCTACTCTTTCCATCTACCTGCATTGCAAATTTTTCCATATTCTATTCATTAAATTAGAAGAAATGTTCCAGACATTCTGTGACTATAAGATTTCTTTCCTGGCCAAAATCCCTTCTGGCAGGACTGCTGTATACGTTAGTATATAAGAATGTGCACTGCACAAGTTCACGGTGTGTCATTCATATTGTCATTAGTGGGGAATGTCCCCTCCTGGAGGTGTGCAGAGTTCAACTTACACAGCTGTACCTGTTGCCATTCCTCTTGGAAACAGCCTTACACCTAAGGATAAAGACAGCAGCCTCACTGGTGAATATATCAGAAGCTTCTGCTTACCCTCCTGTAATGAGTATACACAGTCTTTGACATAGGTACATCGCAACATCTAACCATATCCCTTTTTTATTAAAACATCTTTAATTCCCCTTCAATGCCTTCAGGGATTCTAAAAGTGTGAGCTAATTTTATCAGAATCACTTGGATGAGCTTAAAAAATAGATTCCTGAACCCCCACGTTGAAGATTCCGGCTTGAGAGCGAGCAGGTAGGGCCCAGGAGTGGGTGTTTCAGAATGCAGCCCCTCTGTGCTCCATCCTCCCCGGGGCAATTGAGGCCAGCTCTGTTTAGGAAACACCCATCTCTCTCCTCGACGGACTACAAGGCTCTACCATTGGGCAAGCAGGCTGGGAGGTGGGAGCAACACTAAATAAAGTGGCAACGTGGATGGGTTCCAAAGTGTCCTCAACCAAACCGCAACATGTGATGTTATCAACCATTAAAAAATACAAATTTCAATTCTGGGAAGATTGAGTATATATACTTTTTCCAGTTCCTTCCCATTAAGTCCAACTAAAAACTCAACATTATATAACATAAGGTGACCCTGAGAGCTGAAGAGAGGGAGAAGGACCATCTAGGGCTCTCGGGACCCAAAGAGCAAAACAGTGGTGAGTTCCCTGGGTTTTCCTTTTACCTTGCACATTCCAGACTGGGCACTGGGTAAGCTGGCAATCCAGAGATGCCAATGGGCTCAGACCAAAAAAGAAAAAAAAAAAGGAAGTCAATAAAAGCCTGCTCTCTCTAGCCAAAGATACAGGAAAGGAACAATCTTAACAAAAGAAAACTTAGGAAGTAACAGCTCTACTGAAGAGACTCAACAGTTAGCAACCAACAGTTAGCTGGAGCATTGGGATCAGGTCAGGACAAGTGAGATGGGAGTCACTTTAAAAAGTTAAGGCTAGGGACTTCCTATCCAGATGGAGATGTCGCTGAGACATGCTTCACCTCCTTGTACAACCATAAGAAGGATCACAACTAACCTCAAAACAAAAAACACACAGAACTGCCAGAAAATCAAACTGTATGGAAGTCCAACAAGCAAGGATTTAAAGAAGCCATATTCATCAACAGAGATAGGAGGGGTGGAGATGGGGAGCCAAGGTGGAGAGGACGCAGTATGGTCGTGGCTGTGGCAGCAACAGCTGGTGGAATGAGCTGTCCCACATTCACATGCGGTGGGTAAAAAATGGGAAAGATACCTGGGGAGTGAGTAATCAAAGCCCCAGGCCAGACTGTGCAGCCCAGGGTTCCAGTGCTGGGGAAATAAAGCCTCTTTACTTCTGGCTAGAAAAACCAGTGTGGGTTGGGATAGTGGGAGAGACTGCCAGTCTCACAGGAGAGTCTGTTTAAAGGGACTGCATGGTCCTAAAACTTACACAAACCTACCCACTCTGGGACCCAACACCAGGGCAACAGCTAGAGGGATGCCAGTTACATACCGGAAGTGGATGAAGTGACACAAATGCCAAGCCAGCCCCCAGCAGCCTGGCAGCGGTATTGTACCATAGCCGACCCTTCCCCCACATACAGAGCCACAAGGCAGTGAAACAGGTTGCCCTGCCCTAGTGAACACTAGGCTCCATCCCATACAACTTAACAGGTGTCCTAAGACAAGAAGTCAAAGCAGCTCTATCTAATATACAGGAATAAACATAGGGAGGCTGCCAAATTGAGGAGACAAAGACATACAGCCCAAATGAAAGAACATAACAAAACCTCAGAAAAAGAACTCAACAAAACAGAAACAGCCAACCTATGAGATGCAGAGTTCAAAACACTGGTGATAAGGATGCTCAAAGAAATCACTGAGTACAGCAAAAGCAGAAGGGAAGAAATGAATGCTACATGCAGTGAAATAAGAAAAATCCACAGGGAACCAAGAGTGAAGGGAAGCAAGATGGGGATCAAGTCAACTATTTGGAACATAAGGAAGAAATAAACAGTCAACCAGAAAAGAATGAAGAAACAAGAATTCAAAAAAATGAGAAGCGGGTAAGACTCTGGGACATCTCCAAATGTGTCAACATCCAAATCGTAGGGGTGCCACAAGGAGAAGAGGAGGAGCAAGAAATTGAAAACTTATTTTAAAAATAATAATGAAAGAAAACTTCTCTAATTTGGCAAAGGAAATAGACATACAAGCCTAAGAAGCACAGAGTCCCAAACAAGTTGGACCCAAAGAGCACCACACCAAGACACATCATAATCAAAATGCCAAAGGTTAAAGATAAAGAGAGAATCTTAAAAGTAGCGAGAGAAGCAGTTAGTTACCTACAGGGGAATTCCCATGAAAATGTCAGCTGATTTCTCAAAGGAAACTTTGCGGGCTAGAAGGGATTGGGAAGAAATATTCAAAGTCATAAAAAACGGGAACCTACAGCCAAGATTGTTCTACCCAGCAAAGCTATCATTTAGAATTGAAGGGCAGATGAACAGCTTTCCCAACATTAAAAAGCTAAGGGAGTTCATCCTCACCAAATCATTATATGAAATGTTACAGGGACTTAAGATCAAAACTATGAACAATAAAATGGCAAAAAATACAAATCTATAAATAATTGAATCTAAAAAACAAACTACGCAAAAGAACAGACACAGAATCATGGACATGGAGAGTGTTCTGATGGTTGCCAGATGGGAGGCAGGTTTGAGGGAATGGGTGAGAGGTGAGGGGATTAAGAAGTACAAACTGGTAAGTACAGCATAGGAAATGAAGTAGCAAGGAACTTACACACATGACCAAAGGACATGAATGAAGATGTGGGGACTGCTTGAGGGACAGGGGGTTCTTCGTGGAGGAGAGCAAAAGGGGGAAAACTGAGACAACTGTAATAGCATAATCAATAAAATATATTTAAAAAATTAAAAAATGAAAATAAAGGCAGAAATAGCAACATATATGCAAAATGGTCTATTCTGTACTGCTTTCACATTTTAACTTGATCCTGTCAAAACTCCTACACTAAATATTACAACTATCATAAAGGAGAAATAGAAGCCCTTGGAAGTTAAGCAACTTAAGAACCTCTAACTTCTGTGTAGCAGTCAGCTCAAACCCACACGTTCTGATTCCATGTAATTTTCCACAGCACATTTGTTCCTTTAAGATCCCTGTGTCTTATCATTTCTAAACAGGCTTAGTGAGAAACTATGCTGTTTTATGAAGGCTGTGCCTGTAACCACCTCTGCTTTGTGAGAATAAAGGGGAAGATGGTTCAGACATTTTGTCCTGAACAAAAGGGCATCAGTTGGATTATTCACAAGGTCAAAAGAGGAAAAAACTTGTCATTGGACTCTACTGCTACAGGCAAACTCTGACACGCATTTAAGGCTGAAGGTTTCAAAGTTTAAAATAAGTAAAATATTGTTATGATTTTTATTCAAATATTCCTAATATTCAGGTTCTCTTGAAAGTAGATTATAGTTCTGTTTTGCAGAAGTAGAAATCAAAACTTTTAAAAAGAGATGCATTAAAAATCATAATTTTATTTTTTGTAATGAATTTCTGTGAAAGATGGTGCTTAATGAACAAACATTATGCACAGTTATTTTAAAAAGGTATCTCTGTTTATAAGATGGGTGTCTCTAAAATATAGAGAAAAATTAAATCATGCTTTTCTGAATGTCTGATACACTCAACAAACTAAAATACTCTTATAAAGAGCAGCTTATAATAATTATTAGAAACATTATTCTACCAAAGACACTTCAGAACCAAATCTTAGTAATCTTCAGGGAAGACAGTAGCATTGATTACTGTATCATCATCATTTTCACGTTCTTTATCATTTTCTTCAGTAATACATTTGCCATGTGCTTTTTCTAGGTTTCTTTTTTTCTTATGAGAATATGAATTATTTTTCTTGTTGATTTTCTCTTTGGGATGTGACTTAGTAATAGTTTGTCTTTCCAAAGCCTGTTGTAGGCAGTTGTAAAACCTGTAAAGAAATAAGTATTATTGTTACAGCAGTGTTTTGAAACTGAATGACTGAAATACACCTAGATCTTATAAATTATATAAATTTGATGTTTCATATTAGCCTTAAAATATGAACTGAAACAAATATGCTTGTTGCTTTTATTATTGTTTAATTAGGGGGAAGAATGCGCTTTCAGTTCTTTAAGAACAGTCCTGAAAATTGGGTTGGAATCATCTCAACAATTTCTATTCCACCTCAATTTCTATTCCACATATAGGTGTCAAACCAAGGAAAAGGAGAAAAGGTTTTCTTTATAAAAAGTCGTATATGTAACAGAAGCTCATTTTTGAGATTTTAGAAAATATATGAAGTTACAAATACAGATCCTCAATAAAACTACCAAGAAATAGCCACTCAATATTTTATTCCTTCCAATTTATTAATTTATTATGAATTAATGTATTTATACATGCACACATCTTTTACACAATTGTGCTATTAGTTTTACACTTTTTTCAAATTTATTATTTCTTGAAAATATTTTCACTATTACCAAATGAACTACAAAATAACACTTTTTAATAGTATAACATTGTCATCTACATTGGTCTTAATTTATTTTCAAATTTTCCCTAAGATAAACAACATGACTGACATTTTTGAAAATAATATGATCTAAAGTTCTAGCTCTTTCTTTAGGATAGATACCTAGAAATGTAATTACATGGTTAAAAGGTATAAACATTTTAAGGTTCTTGAGAAATACTGTTGTCCAAAATGGATGTTTAAAATATATGCTTCTAACAGCAATACTTGAGAGACCACTTCATCCATATGTTAAATATTACCATCAAAAAACATGCTTTACTTGGATAGGTGACAGTGGTATCTTATTATTTCAATTTCTACTTTTTTTGCAAGTGAAATGGGATGTTTTGCATTAGCTATGTGAATTATTTTTAATGTGAATTGTTCTTTTCCTTTACTCATTTTTCTACTGGAGTTTTAGTGTTAGTTTTGTGATACAATTAACATTTTCTCCCTAAAAATTGGGCTTCATTTCTTTTCTGCTCCCACATTAACACCTAACGAGAATCTCTACCTGACACAGTAGCCTTCAGCATATGTTTGAAGGCATAAGATGGCATGGCGTATTGCATGTGTTTCATACCAGCACTGTACGGGGAATGCTGTGTTGGCTGATTCCAATTTCTTCATTTATGAAATTGGGTATTATCCATAAATTATAAACTCCATGACACCAAGGACCCCCATCTATCTCATTTTCTGTTATATTCGTAACATGCAGTATAATGCTGACATACTTGGTATGAATATGCTAAATACATCAATAAATAACTACTGAGCAAAGAAGGTCCAAAATTAGAATGATCTGGAGGTTGAGACTCCTTGCCATTGTAGGGATCTCATCATACTAATGTATCCTATTCTAACTGGAGACTATGACAGGAAATTTTTGACATCTATAGAATAGATTGCCATTTGGATCAATTTTCTTTCATTAAATGAAGAGGTTTACTTCTACTTGCAAAAGTTCTAAAACTTCCTTAAAAAAAACTAAGATATTTACCTATTCCCGCATACTCCAAACAATTCTAACACATACTCAACATGATTACTACAGATCCTGTCCATAGTTCAAGAACTTACATACTCACCAATTTACACCTTGACATCCAGCATCATGCTTGGCATATAACACATGCTCATAGATATTTCCTCAATGAATAAATCAATCTCAAAGAGGGAAGTATAATAAAAGGCAAAACTATATAGTAAGAGATGCAAGCAAGAGGCTTTGAAAAATATTAACTGACATATAATTTTTTAAACCCCATTCCATGGTAACAACCTCTTCATATAACGCACCCTGTACATCCTCTGCTTCGCAGTCCGGCGCTCAATGCACTGAGCCATGCCAGCCAGGACCCTGTACACCCTTCGTTAACAGAAACTTGGCTCTCCCACAAAGACATCATCTGCCCTGCATTCCTCTTAAGCAGAGACTGCTTATTTTTTCATATCTCACTTATCACAGAATTGAGAGTGATGAGATCAGAATTCAGCTGGCTCACCAAGACTTTGTCAAGGCTAAACTCCTGCATCTGTCCCTCATGTCATCTACCAAAATTCTGTTCAGTCCCTTATATTTATGAAACCTCCTACACTTTGTTCGATCTTTCTCTCTAGCCTTACCATGAACCTGGGTGACGTCAAAGTTTGGTTTTCTTCTCATCTTCTGAACCGCCTATTTAGAATGGCTTTAAAAAACGACCCAACAGAATGACTCATTTTATCTAAAACGTAAGTCCAAATATGCCACAAGATGCTGTGAATAGCCCTTTACTGACCCTAAGGGGCAGCCCATGACAAGCAACTTCATCTTCTATCTTTCACCACCCACCCGTGCCCTTCAGACTCAGGTAACCAGGTCTTTTGTTTCCAGATTATACTCTATTCCTAGGAAATCATCGATGAGACTAACTTGCTGTTTTATGAACACAGAGAATTAACAACTTGTGTAAAATATCTTGTCAATCATACGCACAAAAAGATAATTGAAGAGGAACAGGTGCCTTACTTTAATCTTCCACTAAAGAACTTAAAAATTCAAACCTACACCCTTGGGGCACCACAGAAGAACTGGTAAACGGAAGAAAGATCCTTTTGTACCAGAAGCCAAGAATAAAAGCATCAAATACCTTCTCCTTTTTTAAGGGAACTTTTAAAAAGTCTGTTGAGAAACCATCTTACACACTAGTCAGAAATTTGTTTTCCAACTGCATGTTCTCCCCTCATTCTATGACCCATCCCACAGGACTCTGAGGTACAACTCTCAGAGTGTAATTTTCTCAGCTCTCAGGAAACACAAAGGGCTTAGGGTATATTCAGGTAACTGTTTCTTTTTTCCCCTCAAAAGAAAATCAAATTGTCTTCAGTTTTTCTACCTCTACAGTCAAGATCATCATGCCATAGGGCAACCATTACTCAGTTGTTTTTATGAGAGAACTTTCCAGTCCAGGCCAGTGCTGTGAAAATGAATTTTTGTTTTTCAGGTCCCTTAGAGGACCACTCGCAATAGAAAGCTTATATTTCTTGGACTTCTGAAATAGGAGGGAAACGTTAATAAAATGTAGGCACAACTGTATACCTTTTTAGGCTTCCATTATTCACAAATAACAAAGAAGGCCATTTTCATATATTCTGCGCTTAGGTTTGAACTAAGCTCTTGTGTTTTCATTTAAAAACATGTATGTGACAGCCTGTCGCAGGTGCTGGGAACAGAGCTCAGCGACAAGGTCTGTGCCCTCCACGGGCTCAGGGCCTAATGGGAGCTGCAAGGCTGTAATGATACCTCAACATGCCACGAGGAAGAGAAGATAAAGGGGGAGCACGCTGGGGGCACGTTGCTGCAGGTGAATCAGGAAAAGGCTCTTTGGGAAAAACCCAGTGCCTAGGCTAAACTGCAAGAATGAAAGGAAAGTTGGCTGGGTGATGGGAGAGGTATTAGGAGGGGAAAAATGAGGGGAGGGGATATCCAGGGAAGAAATATCAGAATATAAATATGTATTTTTCACTTTATATAATTTACCTTTTTGATCTTCAGTACACAGGGAAATGTCAAAGTTATTTACCTGTTTCTGTCCCATTTTTAAACATAAGACGGGCAACTCTGAGGAGTCTAAGACATCTGTTATCCTTGATGATTCCTTTTCTTCTACAATTTCTAATCTGTTGCCATTTTGGTTCACATTCTGTAATATCACTCCCGTTCATCTTTTTACTCAGGGTCCTACTATTTTTTACCTGGACTACGTACCCACAGCCTACTCCGGCCCGCTCCGTGTCTAAGCCATCTTACGTGTGTTCCGGAATAACCATTTTAAGACTTGAAAGCCTTAAAAGTAGCACACTGATGGAAAAAAATCAGTTAACTAAATTTAGCAAATATTTATTAACCATTCTCTTGTGTCAGAAACAGAATGATTAATAAGAAACTATCTTTGCCTTTGGGAAACTCAATGTATGTTACCCTTTGTTCCTTTATTGTTTGTGATTAATTCTATAAACATTTACTGGGTTTCTACCATGAGCCAGACACTATGTAAGGTTTTAGGATAAGACAAAGGATAAGAGGTATTTAAAGTGTTGTGTGTGTGTGTGTGTGTGTGTGGTTGGCAAGAGGGAGAAGTCAATTCCATTTTCAATGTGACCACATTGTAGTGGAAAAAAAAGATATGCATGCAAATAAATAATTGCAAAGCAATATGATTTTTATTTCTGTTTTGCACTGATGCATGAACTGTAATGATACTGGTAAATGACAATATGAATCTGAACCAAGGAAATGGCTATGGGGTTGAGACTAGGCTAGGAAAGATATTAAGGACAGGCTTCTCGGGTATTTTAGTTATATATGTTCAATAGTTTAATGGATATATGGGTCTATGACTTCAGAAAGATTTGGATGACCTACCAGTATATGGGGAAGCAGCTGAAGCTATAGGCCAGGGACAGAATCCTGAAGGACAACAATATTTAACCAACATGTAGAATAGAAAGAGAAATCCGTAAGAAAGCTAAGAAGGAAGGGAAACAGGAAGGAAAGTAGCAGTGTTATATTAATCATTACTTTTTGTGTCTGGCACAAGAAAATTCTTATCAACTGGTATATGAAAAAATGCTTAATGTCACTAATCATCAGAGAAGTGCAAATCAAAACCAAAATGAGATATCACCTCACATCTGTCAGGATGGCCATTATCCAAAAAAAAGAAAAAGAAAGAAGGCAACATGTGTTGGCAAGGATGCTGAGAAAAGGAAATCCTTGTTCATTGCTGGTGGGAATGTAAAATGGTAAAGTTCCTGTGGAAAACAATATGGCAGTTCTTAAAAAAATGAAACATAGAATTACCAAATGATCCTGCAATTCCATTTCTAGGTATATTCACCAAAAGAATTGAAAGCAGGACTCAAACAGATATTTGTACACCCATCTACATAGCAGAATTATTCACAATAGCTAAAGGAAAAAAAACCCAAATGTCCATTGACAGATGTATGGATAAGCAAAATGTGATATATAAATACAATGCAATACTAGTCAGCACTAAAAAGAAATGAAATTCTGATATATGCCACAACATGGATTAAGGCTGAAGACATGCTCAGTGAAATGAGCCAGATACAAAAGAAAAATACTGTATGGTTCCACTTTTACAAGGTACCTAGAACTGCCAAGTTCAAAGAGAGTAAAAATAGAATAATAATTTCTAGGGACTAGGAGTTTGGCAACTGGGGAATTACCTTCTCCTGGGTACAGAGTTTCAATTTGGGATGATGAAAACGTGCTGGAGACGGACAGCAGTGATGGGTGGCTACTGAGTATACTCACTGCCAATGAACTGCGCACTTAAAAATGGCCAAAACAATACATTTTGTTTTGTATATCTAATAACAAAAAAGCAATTATTATGACAACAACAAGAAAATAAGAAAGACCCAACCACTGGAAATAGCTTCATTTACTTTTTCTCTCCAATTTGCTTCATTTTTATCAACAAAATTATATACTAATATATTCAGCCACTTTATTTTATACTTTATTGAACATTTATTTTCTTATTACATAGTTGGTGAAAAGAACATGACTACTTTCGCTGTACTCATAGCCAAGTGGTGGTTTCATTTGATACAAGTCAGTCCTGAGCATTAATGAACAGAAGGAAACAGCCTTCCTCTTGTAATTGCTAAGCATATCGCCAAACTTTCCACTTTTTACCTAGAAATTATTATCTATAAAATTACCTTACTCTTTCTGCTAAGAAGTGGGCTTGGGAATTGGTTGTCACAAACAAGACCTTTTTCCTATTTAAAGTATTTTACCCTTTGACTTTGATTTTTCACATTTGCAGGAAATATCTTGTTGATGAAATGTTAGTCATTTGGACCTTGACTTTTAAAAATCCCTTACTATAGCTATTTTAATTGTGAAATTTTGGTCCTATGACAAACCAATTTTAGTACCCAACATCTGATTGCAGAATTCATCACCTTCAGTATTTACTATTTTTTCTCTTTTCAACATCAGAAGAGTAACTCTTTCTCTGCATTTGGTTGAAAGTACAGCTGTTCCCAAAGGAGCTCCCTAATTTGTATAGCCTTTCAGAATTCACATGTAATCTTCTAATCAGTATCTTAAGACACTTTTTACCCTTCTTTAATTTTTCACTGATTTTATATGATGAGCATAGCTCTCTTGATAGCAGCATACACACTATAATCTCAAAACATATCTTTGAGTCAATGGATTTAAAGCATAATTTGATTTTATAGTTGGTGAACATGGCTCAATTAACTTCACCAGGTGTACGGTTATTGATCACAGGCATATTTATAATCTTGTTGAAATTCAAGTAAGGAAACAGAAAAATGGATTTGCTTGCTACCTCCTATGTTTTAACAAACAAGCTCACTGGAATACTATATAAAAAGTGCAGTAAACTTTTGGAATGGTACCAGTAAGAACATACATATAGTGTAAACTCCATAGTCTGGTGGAATGGCTCGGTGCTCTTCAGTTGCTCACCTGAAATCATTACTTTATTTAGAATGTTTGTTCAAAGCACTTTGTGGTCAGGTAGCCTCTTGGCTTTCTTCAACCACAGGTCTGCTAGAAAAACAATCCCTAATGCCCTAAGACATCCATTGTATATAATAAATTAACTTCTCTCCTATGTATCTAGAATGGTACCATTGTTGGGAGAACTGAGAGACAGTCACTTGAATCATTTCATGAATCCTGCTGTTTAAATGAGGAGCCCTGCTTGAGAAAGCCTGGACAGTGCTACTGATGCGAGCACTGGTTTGTTCTCCAAATGCATCACGGAAGAAGGAGAAGGGCTATCCTCTCCTGGGAATCCATGCCATGACAGGGCCAGCGCTAATCACTATACATACGATGTTGAGTGCATACTAAAACTGTCCCTTAAGGTAAGTATTTACCCCTGTTTAGATTAAGTTGTGGTAGAACCTGGATTTGAACTCAGTTCTAGCTCTGAAGCCCAGTTCTACCTCTTTCCACCATGTGACACTGCTGCCATTGGCACTCCTGGCCTTAGCTGCTTTAAAAAAAAAAAATTCTAGGTATTAAAGAATTTTACGCAGGCAAGTGAAGCAATAAGATTCCTTTGCATTTTACAGACAGGATCCTGAAAGTGATAATAAGAATGGCTTAGCAGAGAGACACACTAGAAGCATTCTGCAGTACGACAAGCTAATACTGGCCACGGTCTTGAATAAAGAAAGTGGAAGTAAGGATGGGGAGAGAAGAATAACTCAAGACTGGTTAAGAGGTGGCCAAGAGGGTAGGGAGAAGGGAAAGAAATTATAAATAATATCAAGTTGACTATCACCACCTGAATAACCCAGAAATGTAAATCTTATTGGTAGTAGGTTAGTGGCATTATCTTTATATAAGAAGAGCAACATAATAGTCACTTCTTTATATTAAAAACTATTCTTAGAAAAGAACTGAAAAAAGAAAGCACTGTAAGAGTCTGGTCTACCATGAGGTGAAATTTAAGAACAGAAGTATAAAAATGGGAATTAATAGCTGTGATCTTTACTACTAGGATAATTGTGGCAATTCTGGATTTAATCCACAATAAGAGATGGGTATTAAACACTCCAGAGGTGTAAAATATTTACCAGGCTAAAAATTAACCAGTCTATCCCCCTCAAAAGGAAATTCTAGGTAGTCTAGTCCCCAGTAGAGCACATCACATAAGAGGCAGTGTGTACCTCTTCTGTGGCTGCCTTCAACGCGATCAGTTACGGTCCCATGTCTTAACTGAGTGATTACATTTCTTTTCTTCATTCCTATTAATGACAGTGATTTGTCCCATTGTCCTCTAGGGAGTTTATGTTCCACTCAGTACCCATTATAGTCTGGCCTACTTTCATTTATTACTCTGATCATCTTTTTATTATTCACGATAAGGCTACAAACAGAAAAGCAGTTGGGAATACAAATTAAAGATGGTATGTATTAATATATTCAAAGATGATCTAGGCATATAAAAATAGCATGGAAATATCCAATTAACATACCTTTCAATTCTCTTCTTGTTTTCCTCCATTTTTTGATTTGCTATCTTTAATAGGAAGTCAATATAATCCTCTGTCACCATCAGTTTTCCCCTATGGCTTAATGGTACTTCTAAGCCATGTGTGCTCCGGACAGCCTACAAGGAAAGAACAATGTCGATATGATGACTCACGTACTAGAGACACTGAAGATAACTAAAGAAGACCCCTAGTGAGGGTGGTGTCTAAACACAGTTCAGTTCCATTGCGGCACTTTGGTTTATGCTTTCATATAATTTAGCTAAACACAGTTGGATCAAAGGAGATTAAATAGATTTTCCCATCATATAAAGCCATTTCTAAAGAAAGTCATTCTACACGTTATGTCTTAGAGAAGCAGATAATATCAAAGAATCCAATAACTTTAAGAGCTGCAACTCAATAAAGCTTAGAAAGATTTAATACACTATTTAAAGCAAAGAGATAAATAAAATCTCAACAGAAGCTTCAAGGGAAAACCAAATTAACTGGATCTGAAAGAGCCTCCTAGTGCTGCTAGGGCACAGTGTGGCTGTAAGAATAAACCATGCCTGTTCTATCTCACAAAGTGGCTGCTGTCTCAATGCTTTAGGGCCAATCTCAGTAACACCGGTGATGAAACAGTCAACGTGTTACAAGTAAATCCAAACCTTGGATATAGATTAAGAACAACTAAAATTATTGGGAAGAATAAAAATTAATTCAATAAACATTTGCAATCTGCAAATGTAGGTCCTACGTGTGAAGATACAGGATGAATGTAACATGGTCCCTTTAAGAGCTTATCTTAGAATGGGAAATAAAAAAGAACCAGGGACAAAAAATTATAACACAACACACACCCGTGTGTGCACATGCATGCACACACACACACACACACACACACACACACACACACACAAAATGTTAAGGAAACGTAGACGAGGTACAACTAATTGAGACAGGCCCCAGCTCTACGGGAAAGGTGGCAGTTGAGCTGGGATTTTAAAGGATAAGTGCAATATTACCAGATGTAAAAATGGAGGAGAAACAACTTATCTACAGTTATGAAGACATGAAAAAACGTGACACATTTGGGGAACAACTAATAGTTTTCTATCTGGCTGAAGTGTAAGTATGTTAGCAGGAGATGAGCATAAATAAGGTAGATAGAAAACAGTTTGGGTCAGGCCTTGAATATCAGGGAAAATATCTGGAGACCCTGCCTTTTCAAATGGGGAGATTCTAACAGCACTGCTTGGAGGGACAGAAGATGGAGAGCAGGAAGACCAGTCAGGAACCACTGTAAAGACTGCGGTGAGGGGAGACAAGGGCTTAGAGAGGTGGACTCAGCTATGAGAAAACAGACACAGATATGATAGGGCTTGAAACGAACTGAACGTGGGAGACAAAGCAGAAGAAGGTAGAAGAACGGCTCTGTTCTTCCTGGGCCACCAAATGCAGAGGGGAACGAGATGGGGACAGCATCATGGGCTTTGCTTTTCTATTTAGTCGTGCTTTACAGGGGTCTTATTTTATAAGCTACTTCTATTTGTCAAATAGGCTATTTGGTAAAAATAGATAGAAAATAGGGAAATGTAGGGAGCTAGAGTGGAGGACAATCTGAAATTAATTCAAGAGTAAATATATGCCACACCAAACAGTAAATAGAATCACTAAATACTGCAGCAGATCAGAAAAGGGCAAAATCGCTAGGGGTTGGTGTGGCCAGGAAAAAACTCAGGAGTAGATATGGAACTGAGAAGGAGCCTTAAGAGATTATTCACTCCAGACTTTTTCTGTGAGAGATAATAAACATTTTCAACTCTGTGGACCAAAGAGTATGTCACAGCTATTTAATTTTGTCACTGTAACACAAAAGCAACCTTAGACAGTAATTAATCAAATGCATGTAGCAGGATCTGGCCCCACTGTGGGCTGGACTTGGCCCAAGGGCAGTAGTTTGCTGGCCCCCTCATATGGCTGAGAAAATTCAGACCCTGAGGGATTAAGGAACTTGCCCAAGTTCATATAGCATAGTCGGGGGCCAGTAAGTATTCGCACAGAGGACTTTAGAGCCCTTATCTCTGATTCTTTCCGTAACATCATGGTGCTTATTAATGTGGGGTTATGTAGGATGAGGAGGGCACAGAGAATGAGGTTAAAAGTGGAGGATATAATACTATAAAATAAGACCTCAAATGTACATCTAATACCTCTAGATTCTGTCCACTCTGAAGGAAAATATAAGTCACTGAAGGATTTTGAGCAAGGGAAAGGCCAGAAGACCTGAGTAAGGAGAGACTAAAGGCAGGACTCTAAGTCGAAGTCTAAGTTATTTCAATAATTTGGATATCTTCATGCTCAAACAACTCTTTTTGCCAAAAGATATCTTACCAACATAGTCTTCCCTCTCTTTCCCACTGTTATGCCAGAGTTCCTGAAACCAGACTCTATTGCCACTGAATGCTGCAAGAAAATAAATTTGTTAAATTCTGATAATCTGACTGGTGAGATAAGCTGTTAAACTCTACAAACTGCAGAAACATGTATAACGCCAGACCTATAATTAAATTAAAAAGGTAGCTGATTAAACTAACACCACATTAATTTTTGGTAGTTGTTTTAAGTCTTAATTAAATCTATCCACATACCTATAATTTCAAGTATAATTACAAAGTTTTACCAGAATCTGTGCATCTTCTAACTGTCGGCACTGCACATGAAGAACAAGTGGTTCAAATTTCAAAACAGCATCACCATTTGCATTTTTCAGAGCTACCATCTAAATAAATGAAAAGTGTTAGTATCCGACACAAATATATGATCCTCTTCTTTGGTGACCCTTTATGATATATAACTTCCATTTTCCCCAGGAACTTTTAGACTCCTTCAGCATCCTCTTTCCAAAATAACTTTGCACTCTGCTTTCTTGGGCTTTTTTCTCCAAAAACTTATTAATGTCCTTATTCTTTTAAAAGACCTGATTTCTCATTCTTCTATATACTTCTGTGTTATTCTTTCCAACCACATGTTAAAAAGTAAGTTACTACTGTATTTAATTCCATAACAGATTTTTCATTAAGGAATATGGTATATAAAGACTGTACTAGAAGGTCTGTTTAAAAACTCCACTGTTAAATTGAGGTTTGAGACACATGTATTATTAAGTATGAGCTAGAATTTATATAAGGCAACTGTTATTTCTGTCTAACATCCCTGGGCAGCATACTCCCTCCTTCATACCATTTCATTTTCATGGGACTCTACATCATGACCCTGTCACTCATCATTCCCACGATCACTGATATCAAAGACGCCAAGTGCCTGGGTCTGATCAAAAATGGCATTCCATTTTATTGGCAAGAATAACTATTCTCTGCAGGGAAAACACCTAACCCAAGCAGCATGATTCAGAGTCCTTTTTTGGAAATGATATACAGATCTTCAGAAGAAGTCTTTTCTGCTGGGGTTGCTGGTAGCTACCTTTCCTGCCACAAAGATAATCTGAAGTAGAACTGACTAAGGGCAAATATGCAGAGGGAACTAGTACCCAAACAAGGGGATGGAGGTTGAATAAGGACTCTGAAGACAACTTCTGAGCACCTGAACCAGTAATGTAAGTGCCTGGCTAATACACACTTGTATGAACTCATCTAAACATTTCAATTTAGGAAATTAAATAATCCAGCAGAGACAGAAAAAATTTCAAGAAGCAATCCAGGTGAGTAATGGATAATTTATTTACAACAGTATGCTGGTAATATATAGATAGTGCTAATTTACTCCTGACTCCCTTTCTCCCTCCTCCTTCTACAATTTGTACCAGGTTGCAAAGTTATAAAATTGCAGAAATGAAATTTAATCTTTGGATCCAATATGTGTCCAATGTCCATGAACTCTCCGCTCTGTCCAAGAGGATGTGTTTTGTTGAGCATTCATAGTAATGCTTGCATACAGATTTCTACTTTTAGCTCCTACAACTCAAAAAAGCCATCATGATGAATTCTCTTTAGGCTTTATGAATAATCTTCACCCATTATAATTATGAACATAAATCACCTTGAATTGTTTTCAACTGTATTTAAAGTGACTGTGAATGCAAAAGCTTATTTCTTTAAATTTATTAAAAAAAAACTTACCAAATCATCTTTTATGCAAGGTTTGTGTGTAACTAGTAGCCAGCAACAGTTTTGTTTCTTAACCTCAAAGCCATTTATACTCTAAAATGAAAAATAGCATAATTAAATTTAATCATGTACTTATAAAAATATTAAGTACAATGCATAACATATGGTAGGCTTTCTTAAATTAATAATCCCAAGTGGTGATTTTTAAGTATTACTGAAAACAATTCAATGGGCAAATCAAAAGAGTAACATTAACCAAAAACAAAAATGAAACCAAAATGCTTGAAATAGAAAGAAAAATACATATGATTTCACTTAAATGTGGAATCTAAAGAACAAAATAAAAAGACAACAGACTGGTGGTTGCTAGAGAGGCAGGGGAATTGAGGGACTGGGAAAGAAGAAGTGAAGGGATTAAGTACAAATTTGTTGCTACAAAGTAGTCATGGGGATGGAAAGTACAGCACAGGGAATATAGTCAGTAATATGGCAATAATTATGTATTGTGCCAGATGGGTACCGGAAATATTGGGGGGAACACTTTTTAAAGTGTATGATTGTCTAATCACTATGCTGTGCACCTGAAACACATACAAAATAGTATTAAAAGTAATCTGTCATTGAAAAAATAATAATAAAAAATAAATTTAAAAATGTTTAAATGTGTTTGCCAAGGTAAAAGGGCTCAATATTGTCTGAAATGGTCATGATTTTGTCAGGTGGAAAGGGATTACTCGGGGTCGCACACTAGCAGGCTCTGAGCTGTCCCCTAGCTGTTTTACTTAGCACAGCATTCTTTTAAGAAAGCACGGCTGTCACAATCCCTACCATTTTTTACTGTCACCTTAGCTGTTCACACCCTTACATGTCCCTACTTTCTAGAAGCATAAATTTGTGACTTTTCATGTAGTCCCAAAGGGCAAAGCTAGGACCAAATGATCAAAATTTCAAGAAGACAAATATTTTACATCAGATTCTTTGTTAACTGGAAAAAAGTGTCTACTTGCAAAGTTCTATTATGTATTTTGGGTATAAACAGATCCTACCCTTAAGGACACTGGAAAGAAGAAGGAGGAAACCATGTGCACTTTTAAGCACTGTACCTCTACAAAGTAACTATTCATACAGTGCGTACACAGGAGACTTTGCTGTCTGGCCTTGGTAATGGGAAGAGCTGAGCTTGTCCTAAATAACTTGTTTGTTTTCATTCAATAACCTCAGTGACTTTTGTATCTGATTTTATGCTAGCTGCTCTAAGTTGTAGAGCCAAATGCGTGGCCCACTTCTAGATTTACAGACTCTAGTGGCATATTTTAGGAATTAAGGTCATCACTGGCTTCCTCTAATTTATACTCCTTTTATCCAGATATTTCCATTCTTAATTTTTCTTCTTGTATTGCCTTTTTGTAAGCCGATTCAAATCCTTTCTGAAATAAGGCAAAGTGAAAATAAGCATAATACCCTTATAACATATAAAATAAGCACTCCTATATGATAATACATACAATAAAAAGGGGTTCAGAAAAAGTCCTAAGGCAGTTCAGAAGAAGCAGTTATTACTGTGTGTGTGTGTGTGTGTGTGTGTGTGTGTGTGTGTGTGTGTGAGGGCAGTTTTGGGAGTCATGCCTTAAATATGCAGAGGTGGGGAAAACATTTCAGGAATAACAAACATGAGCAAAGGCAAAAGCAGGCAAATATAAGATAAAGAAGGGAATAGTTCACTTTCAGTAAATAGAGATGAAGAGAAGGAACGGAAAATGGCATTGAAAGGTATACATACTGGAGTTGGAGTCTGGATATTCTAATGTTGAAAAATATGTAACAAAAGATTTCCACCTGGATGAGTGACATCGATAGATTTGTGCTTTAGAATAGAAAAGTAAAGCTATTAACAGTGTGTAATGTGGTTTAGGGTAGGGACACTGGTAGTTTAGTGACCTTTTAGGGAAACCATCGCAGAAATCTACACAGGATAAGGTAGTAGAAATGGGGGAAAAGAGACAGCAAGATCACTAAGAGTGCCAGTGCTCAAAAGGCAACAGAAGCAACATAAAAATAAATGGGCCCTGCTAACCTGGGAGATCAGTAAGGGATCTAAAGAAGGAGCTCAGGAGTGTGCTGTCTTTCATGCTCAGAATTCAGTACTAATGCTAAATTTAAAACACAGCTAACTTTTTCTGTGCTCTTAATATGGGCCAGTCACAACACTAAAAGTTTTAAACAAATTATCTCATTTCCTCTATACCAGCAATTTTCAATCTTTTTCATCTCATAACACACAAACTAATTACTAAAATTCTGCGGCATACAAAAAAAAATATTTTATGCTGATGTGACAAAAAATAGATATAATTTTCACTCATTCATACCAGACTGCTATTGTTGTGTTGCCTGTTGTCATTTTTTAATTTGACAATCTAAGGGAAAAGAGGTCAGTTTTAAAGACCTCTGTGGCACACCAGTGAGCCTCCCGCAGTATACCTCTGGAAAATCTCTGCTCTACACAAAATCCCTGCAAAGCTGATACTCTTTATTGTCCTCAGTTCTTGAAACAGGGAGGGGATGAGCTTAGATAACTTTCCTAAAGTCACATATCCAATAATTCTCATAACTGGGTTATAATCTAAGCTGTATCACTCCAAAGCCTGAGGGTTTGACCACTATCTCCCACTATATACTACAGTATTGTACTTTTTCAGCTTATTGTATAAATTACAAGAGCAGTAATAATGGAGTGGGCCGCTAGGAGGTAGTAAACACCTTAACCCTAGGGAAGTTCAGTCAGGTAGTTAGGATTTGGTAGAGATCTTGAAGCCACCAGCTTCCACAGGTTGGAAGGTCTTTAAATTCCCGTAGTATTCGGAAAAGCAGATTCTTTAGCCCTTGCAACTCAAGATCATTCCCAGGCCAGCAGCTTCGGCAGACTATCAGGTGAGACCTCCAGAATGAGAATGTGTACTTTAAAAGATCTCTAGGTGATTAATAGACACATTAAAGTCGATTCACCCTCTAAGTTTCCATGGATAAAGAAATCGAGACCACCTACCAGAAGTACAAATACAAACAGGCTGCACTGGGGTGTTGCACTGGGTCGACTTAGAGCTCCTAGTGTTTCTACAAGGCAAGAGCGGGACGGGCTTAGAGGAGGCTCACCTCATCTAGGAGGATGATACGACCAGAGCAGGAACTGGTGGTAAAGAACTGTTCTCTCCCATTCAGGAGCTGCACAATCTCAGCCACATCCTCGTCCACACTGCCCTTGCGGCTGAGATCCACTTTGCTCAGACACTGCGCCTTCCATCTTCTGAACTCTGCGCTACGATCCATGCGAGGTGGGATTTAGGGTCTGCTTTTTCCCTTTATCCCTGGCCTTCCCCTGGGGGCAGCCATATTGGACCGAGTGGTGCCGAGAAGGTCCAAACTTCCTCACTTCTTGGTCGTTACGAACGCGGAGATTCCGGGGGCGGGTAGAGGTGGGCGGGCGAGGCGGAGCCAGCAAAGGCTGAAGACGTCCAAGCCCGCCTCCTTTTTCTGTGAAATCTGTGGGAGCCCTCGTAGATTTTGATTCCCCACTCTAGAACACGGTAAGTGGGTTTACAACAGGCCCCTAGCTGTTCAGGCCGTGCTCTTCCGCGGCGCTCGTCCAGACTGAAACGAGCTTTATTCTAGCGGCGCTCAGGGCTGCGCGCTGTACCAGCGAATGAGGAGCTCCTGACCCCTGTTTTCCCCTCTAGGGGCTTCAAGCTCCTCTTCCCTAAAACACTTGGGGAGTTTTATCTGCCGGGCCTGAGCTCCCAGCCCTGGTTGCTAGTACGATGTGCGTTTCGGCCACACACCGCGGGGCTCCCGTTGGCACTGGCCCCGCACTCCCTTGCCCACCCCCCGCTTGATTTTCGGGGCGGCCAGGCCTGGCTTTTGGGGGTTCCTGCGCCGGGCGCGCTTTTGCTGAGCGCCCCTGCCCACCGCTCAGCGGTGGGAGCTGGTTTGTCTGCGGGTCCTGGAACTGCAGGGGTCCCGGAGCTCGTTTTGCCCGGCCTTCCTTTGCTCTGCTTTCAGATCTGCCATGTTACTTTTGAAGAGAAATGTAGGTTTTTGGTGGGTTGTTTGGGGTTTTTTTTTTTGCCTTTTCCCTCCGATCGCCCCCACCTAGAATAATCTTAAAAAAAAAAAAAATACAAAACACCCAGTTAATAGATCGTTGGATGTTTACATGATTTCTCCCGGACTCTTATCTCAGTGACCAGGGAAATTGTGTTAATGATTGAATCATTTAAAGGCTAAAGTTCCCGCTGTTTGTGCACAGCTAGTGGAAATGGCTGTGTGAATGCTTGGTGTGCAGCAACAAATCTCACCGAGCTCTGCCCCCCAATTCTGGAGAGCAGGTTGTCCAGTTCCATCCAATCTTTGCATCAGAGAACCTGGAGGGGTTTAGAATTATCTAGTCAGTAACTCCTCCGCCCTCTCTTTTCAGAAGTGGGCACCGAGATCCAGACCAGCAAGCAACCTGATGAGGTCACAAGCCAGGGAGAGATTTATCCTTGGTCACTTTTAATTTTTTAAATTTCTTCTGGGTTAGGAATAATCAATAATATGTTTACACGTGTCATTCTTGATCAACAGCAGCACATTATATAATGCTTGATTCTCTTTCCAAGTTTTTATTTTTTTATTTCTTGCCTAAAATTTTTATTTAACTTCTGCTTTTCTCTCCTATGTGAATTTGCCCTGGCTTTGTAAATTGATCTGTGCCTTCCATGTTAAAATAAATTTCTGAGATTTTCTCTATTCCTTTAGTTCTCATTTAAACCTAATGGATTCAAGTGTAGCATGGAAAAGATCACTATTTCAGGAAGAATTTTAAATTCTGAATTTCCTAGATTTGCGAAGTATGGTTGGCAACCTTTCAGAAAATAAAATCATTATATTTGGTAAATAGAATAACCTATTTGAAGTACAGTTTAATATAGGAAAAAAACACACGCAATGTGGCAGGACTGCTGACTGCACATGATTTACTCAGAATAATAGAGCTTACTACATGCTGTGTGCACTGTGACACATTCACCATGTGCTGCTGCTGTTAACTGGTACAAGGATCCTATGCTAGGGACTGTTGGCCCCATTTTACAGGTAAGGAAATTAATTAGCTTTCCTAATAGAATAATTCCATGTATATTTCCATTGGATCCACTAACTTACAGGTGTTTGACATACTTCAAATTGTAAGCAGATGCCTTGATCATAAAATACATAATCCTACCTGCCGGTTAGTTGAAATTCATATTTCTAACTCTCTCACCGTCAGCACAATAAAGTACATTCCTAAAAAATTAGGGGTTCTCTCTGACAGTGTTTCCAAGGGTGAGGTGAAAAGGATTGTATGAGAAGGGAATAAAATCTTAGAGCAACATTCAGGGTGTAGCCCTTGGATTCTACCTTTGCTTTTGTGTGACCTTGATGAGGCTCTTAACCTCTTACCGTGTTTTCTCATCCATGAAGTGGATGGTGATTTTATTTCCACTGCTGCATACAGTTTTAGTAACTGTTCTTTACCTGTTGTGAAAATAAGCATATCAATGGATGTGAAAGATGTGCTTTTTAGAAGGAATCAGGTATTGCAGGGGCTTAAGAATTAATCATAATTGCTATTTGTGTGTTATTTTATTCTCTTTATTATACCTTTGACATAGCACCTGTATTATGAAGCCAAGCAGGATCCTGTGGGTAGCTGAGGTAGTTCAAAGGCAAGGAGTACAGATTGGAGCCTGATCAATCGTAACGGCAAAAGCTCAGGGGGAAATAAGATTGCCAGAAACAAAGTAGAAGAGGGAGCCGTCAAGGTCATGCCAGTCTCCTTACCGGCACCGCAGGATAATGTGATAGTTTGGGACCAGGCAGAGTATCTTCTAAATCCAGTATTAAACACGAGTATCTTCCATACTTTGTTCTTTCGTCCCAGTGTTAGCACATGTCAAAATGTAGGAGAAAAATGTACATGCTGGATGTTTTTAGCAGGTTCTATTTCAGGGCAGTTTTATTATTGCCACAGTTTTTTGAGGATGGTAGTCATGTCTCTTGGTGAATGGAGAGGTGTGAGGGCTTGAAAGAAATGAATAGGTAGGAAGTGGATAGATAACTCAACATGGAGAAGGAACTCCAAATCTTACACTGTATATATGTACATATGTGAGAGGATGGCAGTGCGCAGAAGCTGGGGAGCGGCTGAGGCATCTTTGCCGTTTGTGTTCTCTGAGGTTAGCACAGTGCCTCCCTTATCGTTAATGTTAAAAAAATATATGTTGAATGAGTAACAACCAATATTTGGCATTAATGTTTTGTTTCAGTCATTCTCTAGACTATGAACTCTTTGGGGCTAAGGACCTGTTTTTACAACCAGAGTCCTGTAGGTATTGTTATGATAAATCAAAGATGATTATAGAATCAAGAATATTTTAATGAAAAAGAAATTGGAAAGGAGAAACTAGATGGGGAAGGAATAACAGTGTCTAGTATACATAGGAGTAAACATCGGCCGGGTTCCATAGTTGATGCTTGCCACGTCTCTACCCCTGAGTGGGAGCCCAGTGTTCAGATGAAGAGGCTCAGAAAAGCTGACTGCCTTGCCTAAGGCCACGGAACTAGTGAATGATAGAGCTGCCATTCATACTGAGAGCTGTCAGGTTTCAAAGCCCACACTTTTCCTAACACCATACTGAAGACAGAAAGGAAAAAAAAAAGGATTGTGTTTTTATTTCCAGAATGGAAAACTCTGATCTAGGCAACTTTTTCTCCATTTCATTTTGTTTATATTTTCAGTGTCTTGTCTAAGAAGTACCCAGTGTGAGTGGAGATAGAAATAGCATAGTCTCTGTACAAGCCTTCCCGCCCTCAGGGACTGCGTAGCTGCCCCACGGCGCTGCCCTTGGGTTTATGCCCTTTGCCTGCTTCTGCCCCCTTTTATTGGAGGGCTGCCCTTCAGGATGTGTCATTGCTAAACACCCTTTCAGCGATAAGAATTTTATTTTCTCCTCTGTGCCAAGTACTGTATTAAATCATTTTAAATAAAGATTTTTAAAACAACACAACTTTTGACTGATTATATTAAGAACTTTCTATTCATAACACCATCTACATATTTTGATCCCCGCCCCCATACATGGAAAGACATTTTATAGTTAGTATGGACTCTGTTCTGAGTAGCCCTGTGTTGAACTTTGATACAGTAAAAGTCTGAATTCTTTCATCTCAAGTCTTAGTTTCTGCATTTCTTTTTGGAAAAAAAAAAACTGAGTTTTCATTTAACATTAACAGTGGTAGGACAGAAAGGTTAACTGGAAATTACCATTGTCATTTAGAAAAGAAGGCTTGCAAAACAGTGCTCTAGTTTTCAATGTTTTCCCTCGTTAAAATGAATGAACTTCATAAAGCCAAGTGTTTTGGCATTGATAAATCTAAAAAATGGAATGCTAGGAAGAAAAAAGCAAGCTGCAGAATCCAGTACCGTGTGATCAAATCTAAGTAAAGTTTGAGCCCTTGCTGGTGCAGCTTAGTGGATTGGGCATCATCCGGCAAACCTAAAGGTCACTGGTTTGATTCCTGGTCAGGGCACATGCCTGGGTTGCATGCTAGGTGTCTGGTTGGGGCTGTGCAAGAAGCTATAGTAGATGTTTCTCTCTCACATCAATGTTTCTCTCCCTCTCTTTCTCCCTTGCTTCTCCTTTCTCTAAAAATAAATAAATTAAAATATTTAAAAAATAAAGTTTGAAAACATGCAAAAAACAGCATACATTGTTCAGTAGTACATTCACATGTAGTAGTGGGGTAACATCATGCCTGGGAATGATGAGCACTGAGTTTATCGTAACAGTTGCCTCTTGGAAGGGTGGGACAGAGATGGGATTGGGGATGGTACTGGCGGGTTGTCATATCTATAACATTTTAAGTTTTTAAAATGTTAAGATTTGTTAAAGGTAGCAGTTGAATGTATTTATTATAGTCTTTGTATTTATGGATTTGAAATAATTAATAATCTAACAAAAGATCTATTTATTTAATGTTAGTAAAACTTATACTAGCTCCTAAAATTTCCAAAATGTTGCAGCCCAAGCTTATACAAAAGGACATCTATGATATTCATTATGTTATACCTATCCAGATGTTTTTGTTTGCATGTTTGATTCCCTGTTGAAGGCATTGAATCGCTACAGGAAGCAATATGAGATATTTTGCTTTGTAGCTGAAGGATTTGTAAGATGAAAGGTTTTTAAACATGAAATGAGATCAGTGGTAAGCCTATGATTTAAATTGTCATTTGAAAAATTGTTTGATCTGACCCTCCAGGGGGAAAAAAAACCCATAGTGATAGCCTAGATACAATAGGACAATACATTAATTTTTTTTTCCTTAGTCTCTAGATCACCATGGCGACTGGACGGAAGTTGATGAGAGCTATTAGAGTTTTTGAATTTGGTGGACCAGAAGTGCTGAAATTCCGGTCAGATGTTGCAGTACCAATTCCAAACGACCATCAGGTGGAAATAATTATTTAAAAACAGGCAATAATTACACAGTATGAGTCTCTAGCACATCAAATTAATATTCAAAAGAAGCAGACTCACAGTGATTATAAAGACATTGAATTCCGACAGAATTTATACTGTTTATGAGCTCTGACAAAGAACATAATTTTAATAATTAATGAAGTAGGTCTAAGAAAAGAAATGATGGCTTGTTTTAAGAATTTTTTGAAGTATAGAATCACCTGTGCTGTGCAATGGTTGGATTTTTTTTGAATGGAGGAGTTATTCTGTTACAAATTTTCCTGACTCTTATTTTGTGCACATTAGGAAAACAATTTTCTTTTGTATACCTATTTTCCACATATGATTTAAGAGACTTTAAATGTAGAGCTAAATCATTTCCAGTGACTTTAACAATATAATTTTTCAATAAAAATTATGTATTTTTATGACTGTACCTTCAATGGCTCCTGAGTCTAATTTCCTTAACAAGTCTTATGAGAGTTTTCAGTTTGGCCATAACCTATCGTTATAGATTTATTTCTTATCACTCCTTCTCAATAGACTGTGCTGTAATAACATCAAGTCTTACCCAGTGTCTCCATGAAGCCCTTTTGTTCCTTCTGTCTTTGCGTAGTATAGTCCTTTAATTTGAAATATATGTTTTCTCTAATTCCCAGAGAATGTCTGCTCATCCTTTAAGGCCTAGTGCAAATACCACTTTCTTTGAAATGCCTTCTCTTCTTAATTAATACAAATTTTGTATTAAGTAAGGTAAAATAAACTTCAATAGTAGAAGTAACCTCAAAATCTCAATAAATCAACAATAGAAAATTGTTCCTTATTCATTTAATTCCAAAGTTCTAAAATGTTGGTGGGTAGCTCTCCTCCAACGGTGGTTCAGGGACCCAGGCTTCCATCGTGTGCCTCTGCCGCTTTCAACACTTGTCTTCCAAGGTCACAGCAAAGGGCAGAAGCCGTGGGGATTGCCTCGGAAGGTCTTTATGGGCCGGGCCTGGAAATCACTCTCATCACTTTTGTTTACATTCCCTTGGCTAAAACTAACCATTTCGCTACTCATAACTGTAAAGGAGCCAGGAAACAATATTTTCTGTATCCTGGAGGAAGAAATAGATCTGATGGGCACATAGAGGTCTCCACCACACATCTCAAATATTTCCATCACTGGTCTCTCAAAATGTTTTTAATATCGCACATAAGCCAATGTGTCTTATATTTTTATTTATATGTGGGTTTGCAAAATTGGAATGTGAGCTCATTGAAGGCAAGGTTTTCCCCTCCAGTTTTAGAGCTCCCATAATCATTACAGTCCCAGCATAATGCCTGAATTCTCTGTGTAAACTAATACATTGTCATTGCAGGTTCTAATCAAAGTCTATGCATGTGGTGTAAACCCCGTGGACACATATATTCGCTCTGGTACTTACAGTAGAAAACCATTCTTACCGTATACTCCTGGTTTGGATGTGGCTGGGGTAATAGAAGCCATCGGGGATAATGTAACTGCTTTCAAGGTATTACATTTTTAATTATTTCTATTTTAGCTTAATATTTTTTCTGAGAATATTTTAATATAGTTTTAAAATGTGTCTGTGTTAAGCATTACACACTTTCTGCCACTTGGGGGACTCCTCTAGTAACAAAGAAATTGCCTTTTATCCAGAGTCCTTGTTTATCTGCATTGTGGGGAATAAGTGCATGGTCATTTCTGCATCTTCACATCCCCACAGAATTACATGGTGAACCTTTTAACAGAAATATTTAAGGAAAGAAAACAAGAAAATTATATTGTTTTCTAACTGTTGATAATAGACAAAACAACATAATTTTTTTTTTTTATCCTCATCCAAGGACATGCTTATTGATGTTAGAAATGGGAAGGGAGGGAGAGAGCGAAGGAGGGAAACATTAATGTGAGTGAGAAACATCAATTGGTTGCCTCTTGCATATCCCCAACCGGGGACCAAACCCGCAACCCAAGTGCGTGCCCTGCCTGGGAATCAAAGCAAGAACCCATAGGTTTGTGGGATGACACTCCAGCCAACTGAGCCACACTGGCCAGGGCACAAACTAACATAACTTTAAATACTTTTTCTAAATTTAGCCTCACAAAGTAAAGGGAATGTAAAGTGTTTTTTTTTTTTTTGGAATAATAAGTAAAAATGAAAAAAATACAAGGTCACTATACATTTTCCAAGCTCTGACTCAGACAGAAAAAGGTGATGGAGTCAATGAAAATGTTATGATCAGGGCATTTGTTATTTATATGCCAAAAGACTTTTAAAACATAGAGTATATTCACGTTCTAGCATCTTTCCTCATAATTCCTTGACCTGTTCAACTTTGGCAACTCATTTATCCAAAATTGGACTGAGACAGAGATGATTAACATGGCCCCCGAACAGGAAGTCAGGCAAATTCCTACAGCTTTCCACTGCTCAGCCCGTGGCGATCTGGCTTCTGCCCTCCTGCTCCACGGAAATGATTCTTGCTAATGTCACTAATGGCATCTATATTGCTAGAGTTAATGGGCCCTTTTATGTCATTATCTCTCTTGACTTCTTTGTGACATTTGACACTCTCAGTCACTTACTTTTTCTTAAAAAGAACTTTTTTCTGCAGCTTCTGTGACATTTTCTCCTGTCCTTCTCCTCCCCCTTTCCTTTCTGGGCATCCTTTTTCAAGCCTCTTTTTCTCTGGATGCTCCTCAAATCTTGGTATTGCCCAGCACTCCCAGTCCCTGCTTAGACTTCTGTGTTTTGTATTGTATACCTTCTTCATGAAGATCTCATGGACACCCATATTTTCCTTTATTACATGGATATCTTTTGCTTAGATGTTTCCTTTTTATATAAAAATTTCAATATATTTTATTGAGGCAGTATTTTAAGCCCAACCAAATATTAATCACATAGAAGAACTATTTCCTATTCTTACATAAGGGGCATAGTGGGTCTCTTTGGTAGTGAGTATTTCCTAATATGTAGGCCTTTTTTCTTTTTAAAAATGTTATTTTTTATTATTTTTTTGTATGGAATGAACACTTAAAAAATTTTCAATTACAGTTGGCATTCAATATTTTATATTAGTTTTAGCAATATAGCATAGACATTTATATAATTTACAAAACCATCCCCTAGGTAAGTTTAGCTACTAAGCTTGGTAGCCTCATTTAAATGGCTGGTGGCTGTTTAAAATTCAAAATTAGTTTAAAAAAGAAATAGTTCCTTAGTCATTGCCACTGCTCATTAGCCCTGTGTGTCTAGTGACTATGCTACTGGACAATGCAGAGGCAGAACATTTCCATTGTTGGAGAAAGTAGTGTTGGAGAACGTGGGACCCACATGATCAATCTCCAAAACTTCTTACTCAGTGTGTCTAAAACTGAGCTTGTCTTTTCTCTCTTCATCTCTGTTCCTTTGTCGTGTGACTTGGTGACTTCTGAGGTTTGAAGCTTATCTCTTCACTCTCCCTCACTCAGCTCTCCCTTATTAGAAATGTTTTCTCTCTTTTTCCATTTCTGCTCTCTGTAGTTTGTTATCTTTCCTAGGCCCGTACCTGGACACTTACCTTATCATCCTCTGTCCTTCCTTCTCGAATCTGTCCTTGCTCTGTAAGAGATAGTTTCTATGTGTAAGAGATGTAATTCTGATTATTTTACAATTAATTCTTGCACTCATTTTATGTAGATTTCAGGATATTGTTGAAATTGTTTGTATTGTAAAAAAAGACTATTCTATGCTCTTGCTCACCTATCTTTCCATTCATATCTCCTATTCCTTCTCTCTCTGCCGTTTAGTCATAGCTTTTTGTTCTTCCCTGCATAGCCCCTGCTCTTTCATCTCTGTGTCTTTGTTCATATTTATTCTGCTGCTTGGCAGAATTAAACTGAAATTTACAAACATGGGTTCAAGGGATTTTACACTCTGTCTTTAATTTCTTTTCTTTTTATATCTCAAAACAATTACATTCCATGCATTAGACTCCTTATTCTTTGGGAATGAATGCTGGCTTCTTTTTTCCTGCCACTTTTCCTTTACTTACTTAATTTTCTTCACTCAAAATGACTCTTCTCAATTCTAGTCTTTAAATCTTCTATCCTTCAATATCTACCTCAAATAATTAACTTTTCAATGAAAGTATTCTTGATTCTCTTAACTTAGAAATAATTACTTTATTTTTCTTGTATCTATCCTTAATGGCTCATCACAGTTACTTAGATTTGTAATTATTTCTATGTTATTTTTCTTTTCCTAGAGTTAAGGATGCTTGATATTAAAGTGAGTGTCTTCTACTAATATCTTTCACAGAACTCAAAGTAATGCTTTCTGTGTAGTGGATTCTTAGTAAATGTTTGAATTATGATAAAATTAATGCAACTTGTTTTTCAGCTGTAAAAGCAGGCTTAATCTTAACATAGTCATACTTGATCATTTACAGGGGACACTGTTAAGCAGTGATGCTCGTCTTTGACTCCTAGATGCTTTGTGAGTCTTGTTTGCCTGTACCCCACTACATAGTGCTATTACTTTTTCAGATCTCTTAATTATAGGACAAATCTAAGTATACTGAGCATTATTGTCTTAATGTTTTGCTTATTCCAAGGGATATTTTCTTTTTTTTACTTTTATTAATATATATTTTATGTGGAATTCACTCCTGGGCCATAAGCTTTTGTTCCTTTGGTTTCTTCCGGGATATCTTTTTCTTCTGTGCAGCTTCCCTTCTGGTTTAGCAACAACCTGCTCTTTGTCAGTTAGGATCATCTCAATGCGGCAGGGAGAGCTCATGGGTGGGTTGGTCCACCCATGAGCTCTGTAAATTCTGCCCCATATCTTAGGAGCTTTGTTCACCTGGATGTGCTCAATGACCAGAGAACCTACCTCTAAACGCTTAAACTCAGCATTGCTGTCTGCGTTTTTAAGCACATGCAGCAAAAACTCGGCACTCTTTTTGGGTTGCCCACCCTGTGTCCAGCCCCACTGTTTGGCCTGGGCACACCTACCAACTCTACCATCGTATCAACAGAACAGGATTCATTGCTTCTTTAAAGTGATGTCTTTCAGATATTTGGTGGCCTTTCATATATGCATACCCTTGATGGCCTGGTCAGTTTCATGAATGTTCTTGAACACGAAGATTTGAACCTCCTGATTTGCATGATTTTGTGGGGCTTTCTGGTTCAAGTGAATAGGGAACCATTTTCAGAGGTCACCTCTGGCTGCTTTGGGGAGAGGAAGACTCTTTTTTTTTTCAAGGAAGAGAAGTTAGGGCAGGTGTTTGTAGTGGGCGGTCTAATTTCCCAAGTGTGCAGGCCACATTAGGTAGTCCTGTGATGCTTATACAGTGCCTTGTTTCACTCTCATTTATGCATCTGCTCTTCAATAGTAAGGGCCACACAGACGCTTACTGAGAGTTTGCTGTTTCTGGGGCTGGGACAAGTGACGAAGCCAGTCCTGGCTCATCCTGCTGTCAGGATCCAGGCATAGTCTTCTGCTTTTTGGTATAATCATGAAAAATGAAGGAAATGTAGGGGTGAAGAAATCTACAGGAAGGATTTAGAGCAGGGAATTGCTCCATGAAAGAAACCTTACTTTTTTTTTTTTTTCCAATCCTCACCCAAGGTATATTTTTTAAATTTTTTAGAGAGAGGTGGGGGCAGGTGAGGGAGAGAGAGACAGAGAGATACATCAGTGTGAGAGGAAAACATCAATTGGTTGCATCCTGAGCTTGCCCACTAGGAACCAAACCTGCATCCTTTTGGTGTACCGGACGACATTTCAACCAATTGAGCCACCTGGCCAGGGCGAAACCTTACATTTGTTTTTTCCTCCCTAGTATTTTGGGCAAAAATAGTTTTATTAACTGCCACTTACTAACTACTTGATCTGAGCAAATTACTGAATTTCTTTTTCCCTCAATTTTCTTATTTATAGAGTGAGATTAATTCTAAAGTAGGTATAATAAAAGTACTTACCTCTTAAGCTGTTTTGAAGATTGAATTATGTAATATACATAAGACACTTAATACCATGCCTAGCACAGGACACACTCAATAAAGGTTCATTATCATTATCATCATTATACCATTCTAGAGGTTTGCTTTCCTTTTATTTTTTCTATTTCTCATTATTTTTCTTCTCACTGGTTCCCATTAATAAAATACTTTAAAATATTCAGTAGTTTAAAGTTATTTTAGGAGACCCTAAGATGTAGAAAATTATATAAATACTTATTTATTATAATAAAAGTTATATTAAAAAAGATTGCAGCTCAGAGTGATCATTTCATAATGTATATAAATGTCTAATCACTGTTTTACACCTAAAACTAATGTAATATTGTATTTTATTATACTGTATTTGAGAAAAAAGTTCAAAAGATCATTAAAAAAAAGATTATACCCATTTTGATGTCATTTTTTTAATCCCTGACACACATATAAATTTGTTGCTTCCCCCAGAAAGGTGACAGAGTTTTCACTACCAGCACGATCTCTGGGGGCTACGCAGAGTTCGCTATCGCAGCGGATGACACTGTTTACACACTGCCAGAAAAACTGGACTTTAAACAAGGCGCTGCCATTGGTGTCCCATATTTTACTGCTTATCGAGCTCTGGTCCACAGGTAATAACACTCTGTCAACTAAATAGCCAGCAACAAAGGAGGACAGTGTTAATTGCTTTTCTTCTTACCATCTGTCTGTCATTTTGGGGTACCATTTAGTTATCATTAAGCTTTTATGAAGTGGAAACTGCTAATATGAGAGACTGTTCTAATCACTGTGGTTACAAAAAAGAGCAAAACACTGTGAGCATGTGTTCAAAATGCTCACAGTCTAGTAAGGGAGGTGGACATAGGAGGAATAACAGTTATATACAGTGTGGAAAGTAAGGGATACGGATGTGTGTAGGGATTTTTGGGATCACAAGGGACGTGCCTGCGGTAATAAGGTAGGTCTTCCTGGCAAGGTGTAAGTAAAGCTTGGGTTATTTTAAAGCTATATTTGAAAATGATCAGAGGGAATTAGCCTGGGGAAAGAGCTCGGAGGGGAGAGGAATTCTGGACAATCGGAATAGCTGGTTTGTGAGGGGAAAACATGGTATCTGGGGAGAGCTATAGCAATTTGGTTTTGTCAGATAGAAGATTTTAAGGCAAAGAGTGGCAAAGAATAAGTAATCTCCCAATAAATGTTAGTTGTCATCACTACATATGTAGGTTTCAGATTGTGAAAGCTAGATTATAGAGCTCTACTATTCTGTAAGGGATCGGGGGTCATGAAATGTTTTATTCAGGAGACTTATATTGTCATATTTTTTGTTCTTTGATATCACTTACCAGCCTTGTGAAGGATGGACTTGACCACAGGAATGGAGGAGGGGGGAGGATCTTGTAGGAGTGTCATATGGGCAAAATACTTCTGGTCCAGAGCACGGGTCGTGGGAGAAGAGGTGGAGAGGAAAGGGCAACTTTTTAGGGCGTGAAATCAGGAATATTTGGTGACCGCATGTGGAGAATTAGGTAAAGGAAGAGCTTAAGAATACTTCTAGCTTTCCAGCTTGGGTAGTGTTTAACTGTGACAAAGAAAAGGAGCAGAACGTTTCAAAGGGAAGCTGAGTTCAGATTTGAACTTGAAGCTAAGGCAGGCATCCTAATTGAGAACTCCAGCAGACTGTTGGATGAAAGAATCATGCCCTTGAAGGCTGGAGATATACATTTGGGGATATCAGAATATGGGTGAGAGTTGCCAAAGTGAAAGTGATTTAAATCCCTCAGGGAGTGAGAAGAACGGTGGAATAAGAATAGAACCTTAGTGAGCATCAGCGTATATTGGTATGGTCAGAGGTAGGGGACAGACTTCCCAAGAAAACCAAAAGGAGTGTATTCCAAGACCAAGAGAGTGTAGAAGTCATGGTGTTCATTAACCATCTGTTTAGCTCATGGGCTTTGAAGACAGGAAGACCTGGGTTGGAGTAGTGTCTTCACCTACTACTAGCTATATGATCTTGTTACTTCTCTGCCTCAGCTTCAGCTTACTGATTTGAAAAACCAATAGCACCTACCTCAAAGGGGTGTGGCAAGAATTAAACGAGGAAATGCAGTCCTCTTAGTATAGAGGCTGGCACAGAGTAAGTACTCACTCAGTGCTGACAGTGTAAGGGGGAGTATTTGATTTTGCAACTAAGGAGGGAGGCTAGATGTCAAATGCAGCAGTGAGGTGTGTTTGGGAAAAAGATAACAGCTGGGCTTAGCAGTTAGGAGATCATTGGTGGCTTTAGTCAGATTATTTTCAGGGGAGTGGCGGGACAGAAGATGGTTGAGTGGGTTGAGGAATGAAGAGCATATTGATTCCTTGAATGGAGATTCTTAACACTTTTAAAAAGTGAGCGGAAACAGACAGGAGGGAGTAGAAGAGTACTTAAGAAGAGTGTGGGAACAAAAGGATTTTTGTAAGGATGGACAAGGCTAGAACACATTTATAGTTGAGAAAGGATCTAGCAGAGAGAAAGATGAAAGGTCAAAACAGGGGGCATGGTATATGGAACAAGATCCTACATAAGACAAGATGGAAAGGACTGAGGGTGTAGGTAGAGAGATTGGCTTCAAATATTGAAAGGACAGCTTATCCATCAAACCTAGAAGGTATAAAGATGGTATGATTATGGAAAGCAGGGGGCTAGGGAGGTACAGTGTTGAAGGAACTTATATATGATTGTCTCACTTTTCATAACTAAGTAGGAGGCAAAGTGGCACCAAAATGCACATTGTCACATGTGCAAAATAATTAAAGCAGTTAGGTTTTAAAATTAATTCAGGGCTGTAATATTGGTGGCAAAATAGAATAGTGCAAAGGAAATGAAAACACAGGAGAGAGAGAGAAGTTGGGGTAAACTCCACAGGGTCCAGGCAGATAAGAGAAGGAAGCGAGGCCAAGGGCAGCCAGTGGGCAGGAATTGGTCAGTCGAGAGACAGCAATCTCTGTGAAGGAAAAGTTTTGATAGAATATGGAATTACAGAGTTAGGATAGGAGATCGTTGTCATAATATTGGTTACTATTGCCTGATATTTTTCAGGTAGAATGGTTGGAGGTGGTTACTAGGTTTAGCCCTGGGAGGGAGTGGCTAATGTGGAGGAGAATTCAGAATTGTGATGTATGGTTTTCCTCTGGTGAATGTTGAAATTTTCTAGATTGGGGCTGGCTTTGGGGTTGGAGGTACTAGACTTCATTGACCTCATTGGGGGATCGTGGACAACAGCTTGGAAGGCCAGGTCAAGGGCTCAGGCCCCTACTATGAGCCCTAGGAAGCTAAAAAAAAACAAAAAATCTGACAGGATCTGGAGGCTCAGGGAAGAGTTTCAGTTGAGTGCAAAGGCAATCTGCTGGCAGAGTTCCTTCTTGCTCTGGGAGAAGTCAGTTTTTTGTTCTTAAGGCCTTCTACTGATTAGATGAGGCCCATCCATATTATGGAAGACAATCTGCTTTACTCAGCGTCTACAGATTTAAATGTCACTCTTATCCAAGAAACACCGTCACAGAAACATTCAGATCAGAATAATGTTTGACCAAAATCTGGCACCGTGGTCCAGGTAAGGTGACAACGTAAAATTAACCATCACAATGACTCCACACAAAGATAGAAGGATCGTAGCAGTGGGGACCCAGGAGAAGGTTAGCCTGTTTTTTTTCCACCCACCACAGGCCTAAGGAATTAGGAGAATGTGCTTATAGTGCTTGAGGGGTTGTTGATAAGATTTTTAAAAAATTCATTGGGAAGTGTTTATTTCATATCCCACAGTATAACATTAGTAATCCTGTTCCCTTACATTTGTATTTTACCTTTTAAAATGTCAAAGTGTTTAGTAATAGCTATCACAGTCTATCATTGGAAACCCTCAGTTTAATTCACTACCTTCAATCCCCTTATCCCAAGCAAGAGGGCTGGAGAAGCTTCATTTCCTGCTCACAACTGCTGTTTGTCTGCTCTTGGCACACAGCCTTGAGCAGGACTCCAGATTACCGTGTTCTCACTCCCAGATTGAACATCATATCTGTGTGGCCACCCCCTATTGTTCTAGGAAGTAAGAGATCCTCTCTGGGAGTTAGATCTGGATCATACAACAGCTGCTGGCTTGTGGTATTAGCACTTGTCCATCTGGAGTAATAAAGGATCCCCTATCTGTCTTGCTGCACGTTCCTTATTTTCAGTATATTAGAAAAGTACCAGTATGAACGAGAAGTAAAGCACGTATGTCATTTCACCAGAAAATCTAAACATTTTAGGGATGACACAGGAACCTTTGTGACAGGATTTATTGTATTTCTTACACTCTATCATTGCTGGCTGAGCATTGTCTTCTGATGAGAGCTTAAAGTCTGGTGCAACCGGATGTTTGAAAGCATGGAAAAGTAAAAATGTTTTCTTAAATACCCTACCTGCTGTGTTTACTTGGGCAGTGCTCTGCACCACAGAATCAAGACTGACTGTAATGAACCTGTTTTGAGGTGCTTTCTCTGAGAATTGGTGAGCAACTCCAGTTCCTCTGGCTTCAGCAGTTCCACTTAACCTGCCTGCAAGGACTGCAGCCTCTCAGCGGGGAGCACTGTGACGTGACCTCGGCATCCAGCACAGTGCCTGGCACATAATAGACTCCACTGAACATTTGTTGAATGAACGAACAAATGAGGTTTTCTCTTATCTGTGGCTCTGAAGAATCATTGTTTGATCCTCTGGAGCTTTGAGAATATCTCACTATGAGTTTCCTCTTTGAGCAAGTGTTAGCTGGACTGAGGATAGAATTTCCTTGAGAATAATTAAAAATATGTGAGCTTAATTAGCTTTATAGTGAGATGGTTAACCTCTGCTTTCTTTTCCAGTGCCCATGCAAAAGCTGGAGAAATTGTTCTGGTTCATGGGGCTAGTGGAGGAGTAAGTATTTTTTTTTTAATTTTATTTTAAAATGAACTTTCATTTGTGGCTTTCACATTTAAGTCCATCTTAAAAGCCAAATTTATAAATATAGTCAAAGGTGACTATAAGGGTGACTTTTTCCCTTTATGTAGTAAAGCTTCTTTAAGTTCTGTCTTCTGAAGGCAGTTCCTTGTCATTAGTTTAGAATTTCTATATTAATAAATTGAACAGGTTTCCCCATCAAAAAAATATATATATTAGGTTTTTCACCCTTGTTGAGTGAGGACCAAGACACACTGACTATGTTTTTGCCTTCAAGTGGCATATGTTGTAAGAATATTCATTTAGAAGTTTGGTTCTTTAAGGTAAATACTAATTCCACATTTTCTTGCATAAAGAACTAAGGTTCATTAAAGAGTTCTATATGTTGCCCCAGACAGCACTGCAAAGCCACATGGAATCTTTTGTCCTTTCTATCTCCCCTCCACTGCCTGCCTGCTGTGTTTTGATGACATTCATGGCGTGCAAAATATACAGCTGTTTCCTTAGCACCATTGCTTAAAATGCAAATGGAAGGTGAGGGGGAAGTGAGTACTCAGAACTTATAAAATAAGCCCTTTAGTGAAGTCACCCAGTGCAGGGCTGTTAGAAATTCCTTCAAGAAACTGGCTATCAAGCTGCCTTTCAGGGGCTTAGAGGAAAAGTTAGAGCTCTGAGGTCAAAATGTAACAACAAATCCACATGACCTCTATCCTGCAAGGTTTTTTTTTGTAAATTTTGGAGACAGTAGGGCCAGGTGCCTCACCTTGAGGAAGATGGTTAACCCTTCCAGAGCACTACGTATTCTGGACAGTAGATTGTCTCCGGAATAATGAGTGGCATTCTGAATACATGAATTTACTTTTAAAGGTGGCTAGGTACTACAGAGAATTCAGTCCATCACTTGGTACCTTGGATAGATGAATCACAAGGCTTCACACCCAGCTTCCCTTGTACCTCAGATAGATCCAGTCTGAAAGATTTCACAGATCAGACTCTTTACTAAAAAACACCAAGACTGTCCTCATGGGGCCTGAGAAAATAGGACAAATATACCTTGTCAGGAACTTCCATTGTTTACCTTCACCAAAGAGACCATTTTGAGGTTAAATTAAATGTAACACTAAATAACTAAAAGCTCTGTTAAACATACATTTATTTAAATTGCTTTGGCTCTCAGAGAGCTAACCTTGTACTCTTGAAATTTCAGTAGGAAGGGGAGAGAAAAAATCTCCTTATTCCCTTTACCGTCTTGTAAAAAGCCCAGTCACTTCACCATGCTTTTTTTTAAAGGCAATATCCACACTGTTCTCTGGGCTGGCTGAGCCTGCTAAACCCTTGGCTGGCAGGGATAGACCAGCAGCCGGGTGTGTGGAGCACTTCTGACCCTCCCTGCCCTGTCAGAGGGAGACAGCGCTGGGTTTTTCTTGCTTCTGTTTGTATGTTCTGTTCTCATGTAATTCAAATTCCTTTGGGATTATGTTGTGTATTTAAACTGATGTGGAACTTATGAACACAGCTATTATCCAGATCCATTGGTGGGGAGTTCCCTGTTAGAGTGTCAGCAAAACAGAATATAAGTGGAGTGGTAGACATATCTATTGAGGGAGTAAGGCTAGTACAATTGTTGACAAAAATAGAATAAACAGGGTCTTTAAAATACCTTTTGAGTGTCCCTTTCAAGTAGTTAAGAGTATAAGGAGATAAATTTACATTGGCATTTAGGTTAAATGTAGTTTCATTAAAAACCCTTTTTTAGCTGAAATTTTTAATTGAAAATTGAAGTAGTAAAAATGGACTGTGCTAACCCCATGGAGTCTTGTATTCTCACTCATCAGTAAGTTCCATGTTGTTTTGGTGAAGTCAAATGCCTTTCATAACCCAACTGAGTTCAGGCATATCATGCCCATATGCCATGTAGTCTTTAAGGTCTATTTCAGGCCTCGGAATTTGTGATACTGTTACAAGTTTTATTTGGTTCTATCATCCTTTTTCATTTTACTTCTTTTTTATCATGCCCAATCCATGGTGATTTTTACCTTCCTCTAAATCAGCTGTTATCAATAAGGGGTGATGTTCCAGCATCTCTCTTCCTTGTTCAGGGACAGTGGGCAGTGTCTAGGGCTATTTTTGCTAATTGCATCTGGGTAGAGTGTTCTGTCATCTCATGGGTGGCAGTGAGATACTCTGCTGAACATCCTTCAATGTAAAGGATAGCTTCACAGCAAAGGATTATCCGGCCTCACATGTCAATAGTGCCAGGTTTGAGAAATGCTGCTCTAAATGTGTGTGACAATTATCTGTACCATTAAGAGAACAAACTAACAGTGGCCATATGGGAGGGAGATTGTGGAGCTGGCTGAAAAACGGTAAAGAGATTAAGAAGTATAAATTGGTAGTTACAGAATAGTCACCAGGATGTAAAGTACAGTATAGGGAATATGAGGTCTGTCTGGAAAAAGTCCAACTATTATTAATAAAATGAGAACAGTTTGTGCAACCTCAATGGAACTGGCCACCAAGGAGAGTGGACTGAGTGCACATGTGTGAACAATGACAACTTCACTGTACTAGTCAGTGGGGGCAGTAGACGCAGTTGAGTGAGCATGTGTACTATTTGGCCCTCGCATTAAAATTAATGAGCGAGTAGAGCAAAGAATCTATATCAAATTTTGTGTTAAGAGGGCTGCAGCTGTGGGCAGCTGGTGATTGACAGCTGGTGATTGGCAGCTTCATCACAGCAATGTACCTGCTCATGCATCATGTCTCATTCAGAGTTTTTTGGTGAAACATCAAATCACCCAGGTGACTCAGCCCCTTACAGCCCAGATTTGGTGTCCTGTGACTTCTGGCTTTTCAAAAAAACTAAAAGCACCTTTGAAAAGAAGAGATTTCAGCCTGTTAATGGGATTCAAGAAAATACTACAGGGCAGCTGATGGTGATTGGGAGAACTGTGTGAGTTCCCAAGGTACCTACTTTGAAGGGCACTGAGGCATCATTGTATTGCATACAATGTTTCTTGTATCTTGCTGCTTCTTCGAAAAATGTCTCCATTTTTCATAGTACATGGCTGAATACTTTCTGGACGGACCTGGTATAGTCAGTAATATTGTAATAGCTATGTATGGTGCCAGGTGGGTACTCAATTTATTGGGGGATCACTTTGTAAATTATTATACATGTCTTGCCACTATGCTGCATGCCTGAAACTAATATAAAATATTGGATCGGCCATAAAATGTTTTTTTTTTTTCATAAGATGGCTCTAGTAGTGCTTTGTTGTCTTTAACTTCATTTGAAACAATTTTGTTAAATTGTATTGTGACAGATCTCATATCAGCATGCATTTAAAAAACATCAAAATCGGTGAATTTTCTGTAGCCATTTTAATATTGAAGGTGAAAGGAAATAAGCAACATTTTTGGCATATTATGCTTTATTATTTCAAGAAAGGTAAAAATGCAACTGAAATGCAAGGAAAAAAAAAAGGTTTGTGCAGTGTATGGAGAAGGTGCTATGACTGATCAAACATGTCAAAAGTGATTTGCCAAGTTTCATGCTGGAGATTTCTCACTGGATGATGCTCCATGGTCAGGTAGAATGGTTGAAGTTGATAGCGATCAAATTGAGACATCAGTAGAGAAAAATCAATGTTAAACCAAGCAGGGGATAGCCAACATACTCAAAATATCCAAATCAATAAAGTTATTGTTGAAAATGAAAAATATGTCTTTTATTTTACAGAAAAGAACTAAACAAACTTTTTGGCTGACCCCAAAATAATGAATGTCAACTGTAATTGAAAAATAAAAAAATATGGACCACCCCCCAAAACAAATAAAACTATTGGTTATATTTTATTTTTCAGGTAGGACTAGCAGTGTGCCAAATCGCAAGAGCTTATGGCTTAAAGGTTTTGGGCACAGCTGGAACTGAGGAAGGACGAAACATTGTTTTGCAAAATGGAGCCCATGAAGTGTTTAATCACAGAGAAGCTAATTATATTGATAAAATTAAGGTAAAATTGTTTGAGACTTTTATAAAAGTAAAATTTTGTTTCTTGGAGGACTTACTTTTTTTTGTAAGTTCTTTTTATCAACCACTCTCAAAGTTGTTTGTTTCTTTTTTTAATGCTTATGTTTTTATGCCTGTGTGTTTTAATGTTTTAATTTAAAAACTAGAGTTGTCTAATTTTTAAAACTTCACTTCTGTATTGTTTATGTTACCAAATAAAATTTAGCCTCCCAAGTCTTATAGCTATAAAAACTTGTACTCTTTAGTGCAAATCACAGTGTAAGTAAATCCACAGCTTTACATTTGCACCTGTGGGATAGTTTTAATATTTCTATTGGTATAAATTTTTCCATGGAAGGTGAAGTATCCTCACATTACAAACTGGATCTGTCTAGCTTAGGGAATAACATCAATTTGTTAACTGGATGCTTTGGAGGAATAATCACTACTTCATCCAAAGCAGTAAGGCAGCATTTAATTAATTGTTGCATATATTCCATCGCTGTAGTAGAATTCAAGCAGATTCTGAAGTTCTTCATTTGTGCTCTAGTAGTAATTTACTAAACTCTGATTACTTTCCTAATTCTCAAACTACTTGCTAATGTTGAGAAAGCATTACAGTTTTCCAGGTACTGATTACTATGTAAACTAGGTCATTACAAATTAAGGAAAGGATGAGAGGGAGTTTATTACCACTGAATCATCTTGCCAAAATACTGAGTGAAGGCACTCCTTTGTTATCTGTCTAGGAAATCTAAAATTAATGGAGTATTCACTCCTAATACCAGTTTCCAAGAGTATTTACAAAGGAGGAAAATGGTTATTCTAAGAATGTATTTTTGTTTTGCAGTAACCTAATTTTAAGACCATGAGGCCCTGTAGCTTCTATCTCCTCAACTGGTTCCTTCCACTTAGTCTCTTTCATTCTCTGAAAAACATTCTCTTAACCTTTTAATGCACCTTGTCCCTGTTTCCTTTACCACCAAACTTCTTGGAAGAGTTGTGAGTACTTCCTACTTTTACTTCCTGGCCTCTCACCCCCTCCCACTGCAATTTTGTTTCCACCCCAGCTTCTTAGGGCACTAATCTGAAGTCACTGACAAGCTCCTCCCTACCAGTCTGCTGCTCTTGTCTGTGGCCTCATCCTGTTTGATTTTCAGAAGCAATTGGCAATGCCCACATCTCCCACAAACTGGTTCTCTGATTATTTCCTTAACTTTATTTTCAGTCTCCCTTCTCTTCATATTACTCAGGTGTTCCCTGACTTTTCCCTTGGCTTCTCATCTTCTCTGGTGCTAGACCTCCAGCCTGATCAATCTCGTACACGCTGAGGGCTTCAGTGAGTATCTGTATAATGTGGATTTCCAGTATTCTGTCTGGCCTTATCTCCCTTTTGGGCATTGCCACTCATCTGGTCATCTAAGACAACCCACATTTCATTTTTTATTCCTGTTTTTAATCACTGTTCTCCCTCCAACCCATCAGATTGGTCAATTCATTGTATCAGTTTCATCTCTGATGAACCTTTCAAATATATCACCTTTTCCCTGTTCCCTTCACCATTGTGACTTAGGTTAGACTTCATCTTCTCCAGCCTTCACTAGTATTCGTTACTGACCCACTATCTCCAGAATCATTTGGTTTTCCTTAAGAAAAGAAGGAAAAAAAGATCTCTAGAAATAACCAAAATGACAGCTCCACAAGGATAGGAATGTTTGTGTCTCTTATTTCCTGCTGGACTTCCAGTGCCTTAAACAGTGCCTGGCACAAGAATTAATGAACCCTTGACCCCAAAGTCCTAATCCTTTAACGCAGCATTCAATGTATTTTCACAGTCTGTACCAAATTACAACCTCCTCTGTCCTGCCTCTTTCTCTCCCCCAACCCCCACCTACTCAAACACGTATTCCATGCCCTCTGGGCTGCTGTCTAATCCTGACTCATTTTTGTTCTTCTTTTTCTTCCTTCTGGACTGCCTCTGCCTCATGTGTAGCTTCCTCTTGTTCCTCTTCCTTTTTTGCTCAAGAAACTCGTATTCATCTGTGGGACTTTCTATGAGCATTATAGCTGATCAGAGTTGTAACTTTTTCTTTCATTATAACCTGCAGTTTATTTCTGCTAAGGTAATACTTAGCCATTGCATTACAGCTATGATCGTGTATTTCCCATCTTTCTCCCTAGTTTTGTTTTGAGCTCCCTATTTCCATCTTTGAACTCGCACTATGTAGCACAGTGACACAGGTATTTATTTTTTTGTTAAAATAAAATGAATATAAGGTAGATATGTATAGCTTATTTAAGAGCTAGTTTTGGGTGTTGGGAACTAACATCTGAGAGCCCACATAAAAGAAGTAGTGTGCCAAGCTGATTGTCAACCACTTAGAACAAAACTGAATGCACACACGAAAAATTCCTGCAACACTAAACAGCAAGTATTTTCTCTTGGTTTTTTAAAAAAAATGGGAGCCCTGTAGGGGTTTATTTTTTATTTATTTGTTTCTCTATGAAAATACATTTTAAAGTAGAACATTTTCAACTAAGAAAAAAGTATTTTGTAGTCAAGTTTAAGTCTGAGCACCTGAAAATTCTAAACAAATTTTATTTTGTTATAGCATAAATCTTTATCATCTTAGATATTGTGGCTCATACTTTGGAATTACATCATCACTATATAATTAGATAATTTTAAAACTTGCATTATGAGTCTTAAAAATGTGCATTTTATGTCATTCAAAACATATTCCTATATTATGTGGGACAATGATAACTATTTTATAGTTTTTTTACTTGTTTTCTTAACCTATTCTGCATTCTTTTATGTTATATAGAAATCTGTTGGTGAAAACAAAATTGATGTTATTATTGAAATGTTAGCTAATGTAAATCTTAGTAATGATTTGAATCTTCTGTCATATGGAGGACGAGTAATAGTAAGTATTCTTTTTTTTTTTACCACTTTGAAGTATTATCATAACTTACCACCATTTTGCAGGAATCTTAACAGTATATGTGTTGTTCTTCATAATAGATTGTGGGCAGCAGAGGTCCTATTGAAATAAACCCACGGGATACCATGGCAAAGGAATCTAGTATAATTGGACTTGCTCTCTATTCATCAACCAAGGTAGGAACAGAGGTAATTCTGATTTGGGTAACTTGCCTAGTCAGGCAGACTGAAAATATAAGTAAATGTTAAACTTAGTCATCTGACTAGATGTGTACATTAAGTATTAGTCACTAGAAGATAACTAGGGTGGCAATATGGTTTATTTTCCAAGACAGGACATTTTTGAGAGAGAAAAGAGATACTATTAGTAATTACTTCAGGACAAGAAGTATTTTGTAGACTGATACTGTCTCAGACAAGGTGGACTTATGGTTACTATATTGAAAGCTACCTTTTCTGTTGTTCTGTACCGACTGACAAAAGCCACACTTTTGTGAGAAATTCTGTATGCTTTCTTAAGTTCTGAAAATATTTAATGCTTCTGAAAATCAGCTCATATGTTTCTCTACAGAATGTCCCCCTTATTCCCTCCCCCCCTGCCCCACACAGGAGGAATTTCAGCAATTTGCAGCAGCTCTTCAAGCTGGAATGGAAGTCGGTTGGTTGAGACCCGTCGTAGGTCCTCAGTATCCATTGGAGAAAGTGGTCCAGGCTCATGAAAATATCATTCACAGCAGTGGGGCTACTGGAAAAATGATTCTTCTCATATAATGATTAATTCTTTCATGTATTTCCTGTGTAATTAGAGGTTTCTTACTCCAGTGTTACTTACACTATCTTTGCTTTAATTGGCATTCATTTGATTCAGTGAGTTTCTTATACTAAAAAACAAGATTTTCCTTTAGAGATCCTGGGTATTAGGTGCACAGCTTGTGTTAGAGCTGGCAATATTCTTCACGCCTTTTACCTGCAATCAGACAGTCATAGTAGAAAGTAGAATGTTGTGGTCATTGGCATTGGGGTGCATTGGCGAAATTCCTGATATTTGATCGTGAATTTCATGCCTTTGACTAAAACATTCTAATGATAATTCTAATGATAAATAAAAATAAGACAGTTTTGATTTCCAAGCCTACTTCTCCTTATAAAGTTTCTTTCATTCCTGATGAGCCCAGAACTGTATTACATTTTGAAGATTTTCTGGATCAGACAAGACCCTTTGTTCAAACTAATCTTATCTAGATCAATGAGTCTCTTAGAAGGGCATGATAAACAATGTCCAGACACATTTGTTAGTTTTCCAATTTTTACCAAAATGCTAGAACATTCACTGTGTTAATAGTTGATTACCAATGATCCACATGTCTTGTGAGGACAGCAGCCTTTTCTTTGGTATAATATGATCCTAGCTGCCTGGTCTCCAGATAGACACTTCTTGACTGGCTTGATTTCAAATTAGATTTAGAATTATCTGTGCAATAGGGATCATATATTTTTTAAATAAGTAAACAAATTTGACACATTTAGAATGATCTGCTTTTGTTTTCTAACATGGTAACCTGCAATGATTCTATAGGAAATGAAAAACCAGGTTTTCCTAGTTTTTCTTTGTATTGTACTTCACTTTTACATAGCTCCTAATGGTCACATCCTAACAGTGTTACATGCTAAGTCTTTTTTATCGAAACTAAAGAAAGAAATGATTGCATAAAAGATGAATGATTATCTTTTTTAAAAATATATATATATAAGGCCCCAAAGAGCCTTTTTTTAAAAAAAAATGTATTATTTTTAGAGAGTGGAAGGGAGGGAGAAAGAGAAGGAGAGAAACATCAATGTGTGGTTGCATCTTGTGTGCCCCCTACTGGGGACCTGGACTGCAACCCAGGCATGTGCCCTCCACTGGGAATCGAACCAAGCGACTCTTTGGTTTGCAGGCCAGCACTCAGTCCACTGAACCACACCAGCTAGGGCATGGTTGTGTAGAAATCTTGATGACAATATTATGTCCAAGGAAATGACATTTGATTGTTAATTTTGTTAATTATTCTTCATATAAACACAGCCTCCTATCTGTTGTTGCATTATGTGGTTGATTCTCTTGACCTAATTTTTTCTCTTGAATGACAATCATGTTTCTAGTTTGAACATGGAATCCTGCCTTATTAGTGAAGAGAAAGTACTGCTGACTTCTATAATTGAGGGATTTCATTGACTTCTGGCTATATGTACCATGGCTGAAGCATTTTTGCTATTAGCATTTTTCAAGTTCATTCACTATTTCTTTTATAGGTTAGCATCCTGTGAAATAACATGTTTGAAAAAACTTTTTTAAAAAATCATAATTCTAGAAACTAGCATGTTATATATCATAAAATGAAGGATTGTTTTCCATACAAAAAGGTAAAGGAGTAATTATTCTGTAAAAGTCAGATTCTTTTTTTGGTGCCCCAGCTGGGGGGCTTGGCTCTCAGCCCCTTTCAGGCCCCTCTGTGGGACCCTCCCTGGTCAGGCCAGAGCTGCAATGACTGTAGCCCTGTGGGCAGCTTGGAACTCAAGGATCTTATAGGCACCTGGAAATTCATGTACAACCCCATGGATCCTCTGGACTACAAGGATTGGGTGCCTGGCAGTTTCAGATCTTGTAGAAGTGATTCATTCTCCATCTGCCTCCATTTCTTGTCTAAATCTGCCTTTTACAGAATAATGATTCCTCCTCTATAGAAGGAGCTGAAGCATCCTGCTGACTTAACACTTCACAGTCCCTTGATATAGTTCAGTTGATATCCACGCTCTATGTATTAACTATCATTTATGGTTATGTAGCATTGGACGTGTTCCCTGTATAAATCTCCTTTTAGATCTAGTTCTAGTCTAATCTCAGTTTCAAGCCAAATACATTTACTGCACTGTTGGTGCCTGTTGTCTAAGGGTTACTCCACCTGTTACCAGTCACCAGTGCTGTCCTTGATTCAAAGTCTAGAATAACCCATAGAATCCACAAGAATTATATCATGTCCCAACCAGATGAATTTCTGTTCTTGTCTGCTTTGACTTTAGAATCATATAAAGTTACATAAATTGATCAGTTACCCTGAGCTTAAGAAGGTGAAATGACATGTTAAAAGTCTCATGACTAGTGTATTCAAACTCAGCCAACATTTTTTAGTAGCTTTTTTTAATAATTGATTTGAGAGAGAGAGAGAAAATAAGGACCATTGATTGGTTGTTCCACTTATTTATGCATTCATTGGTTGATTCTTGTATGTGTCCCGATCGGAGATCAAACCCGCAGCCTTGTTGTATTGGGGCGATGCTCTAAGGAGCTGAGCTACCCCAGCCAGGGCCTGTAATAGGCTTTTGATATAAAAACCTGAATTTTAATTTCCAGGCCTTTGGCTTCCTGGCTTGCTGTAACTCTGAGGACTGCAGGAGTTGAGCTGCTTGCTTTTGAGTCTCATTTTACCTGAGGTTCCTATATTCTGACCCTATCTTTGCCTCAGTTGTCACTCATCTCCTAGTTTGACTATTCATCCATTAGTTCAAAATATTGAGTACTTAAGAGTCTGAGAAGGCCCCATGCTAGAATTTGAGGATACAGAGATGTATAAGGCATAGTCCACATCCTTGAGCTTACAGTTGTATAGGGACAAGAGCCAAGCAAAATGTTTTTTAGAGTATTGCATATACAAACACACATATTACATGTATATGTATATTACATATCTGTGTATAAAGAGATTTATTTTAAAATTTTTATGGGGACTGACAAGTCCAAATCTATAGGGCAGGTCAGCAGGGTTTCTATAGTTCAGTTTAAGGCGGAATTCTTTCTTCGGAAAAGTCTCAGTTTTTGTTGTTCAGACTTTTGACTGATTGAATAAGGCCTACCTGAATTATTGAGGGTAATCTACTTCAAGGCAACTGGTGACTTTTTCTAAACATAAAACTAACCATTACAAGGGGTGACCTGGGGACACAGGTGCAGGACCCTTAGAGTAGCTTGGGATTTCCAATTAGACATTTAATATATCTTTGACGCCTTTGTTAGCTCCCTCTATCCATAGTAGCTGTGGTCAGAGGAGTACAAAATAGCTTGGATACATCTAAGAGGGAAAATAAAATAAAGTAAGTTTTTTAATATCCTTAGCACAGCTTTATTGAGGCAAGAAAGTCTATGTGTGTCAAGGGGTTTCCACAATTTATAGCGTAAAGAGGATTTTTTCTGTTCAAGATAATTCTCAAAAACAGCAAAACCTATCAGGTCACTTTGGCCTGGCTCTCTCAGTGTCCTCAACCAAGTCTCACAGACAGGAAAACACCTCAGCTCAATCCTTAAATCTCTTTCCAATAATGCTGTTTCTTAGTCCAGTGATTTTCTAAAATGTCATTTGAAAATTGAAGACAGTTTTACGAATCCATTGAGTTTTAGGAATAGCTCATTTTGTGGGAACTTCTACATTCAAGGAAAGAGTCTAGGAAACATTAAATCATCAAAAGAAATTCAGAGTCACTTTGGTCTGTGTCTGACTAGTGACACAAGTTTTGGTGGGGACATTCCGTGAACTTGACAAGTGAGTCTAACGCTGATCACAAACCGATTGCGTGATACAGATGCTCAAAAAATTATGTTAAATATACAGATCAGCAGTCCTTAGTTTATCCTTTTCCCAGCTTCATGTAAAAATACCCACCAAGACTGCAACCATACTAGAAACTAAAGATAAGAGGAAACCCTGTGCCAAAACCCACTGGGAATTTACACTAACTCCATTGTCAATCATTTGATGCAGTGACCCAAATTAGCTGCAAGGTAGGCAGGGAAAAAGCCTCAACTCAGTCACTGCTTCCAGCTAAGGACACAGATGCTACACTACCTAGAAAATCAAACCCCTCCTTGCCCAGAAATATTTGAGCTAGCTAGAGATTTACGCCTATTCTGCAGCATCCCCTTGGCTTCTTGCTTTCACTTGCATTTTCGGGACTGCAGTTTTCAATTTTTGGTACAGCTGCAGGTTCAGGAGGCAGGGGCACTTTGCACCCCGGGATGTACAGTCATACAGAGAAAGTCTTACAAACGGGTGGAGAGTGAAGGGTCTCTGGCTTGCAGTGAATGCTGGGGAGCTACAGCACTTGTACAAAGCATCTGCCCGACTCTGGCAAAGCCAGGTTATCTAACCGTCAGAGCAGAGGAGGCTCATGCCTTAGTCCAGCAGGCACTAGGATCAACCCAAGACACTTATGAGGCCACCTCACTCTCACTCCAAGTACAGATCTGAAAGGAACTGAGCTCTCTTGTGAGCAGGGATGAGGGCCAAGAGCTTATGCAGTCCTGTGGAAGAGTTGTTACAAGCAGGGGATATAGAGGAGGAAGGCTTGACTTTAAATCTTGTCTCTACCACTGACCAGCTGTGGAGTCCTGGTCAAACTACCTAGTCTGGAGATTCAATGTCCTCCCATGTAACATGTTAGTAAAATCCACCTCAGAGTGTAAGAAGTAAACAAGATAACGTCAGTAAAACACTTTGCACCCTGTCTTGCATGAAGGAGTGGTTACAAAATTATTTTTTCAGTTTTGTGAGCTGTAAAGAATGAGTGAGTTGAGATAAGGGGAGGAATGAAAAGGGTATATCCTGAAATATGCAAAAAATAAAAGGAAACCCTAAATGCATATTCCCATAGAAGATAGGAATCAGCATAATTGACACTATGCAAAACGTCATTGGGCATGGGTAATTTGATTACTTTCCAAAAATGTGGAGAAAAGGGATGAAAAAATAGAACAAATGAAAACTGAGAATACAAACTTTGAGATACTGAATAATATTTCCCCAAAACCCAGAAATGAAAAGGGTAATGGTCAAAACTTTTCTGAGCCAATTAAAAGAGCTAAGTGTGTTCATTGATAATATTTATTATGTCTATGCAAGATTAATGAAAACTACTAGTAATAAGGCATATCTTAAAAATTTTAAATTTCACATAATTAGATATTGGAAGGGAACATGCAGAAGAATCATTATTTATAGTTACATTATTTAAAACCCAGAGAATGTAAGAGAACACATGGAAAAACTATTAATGAATTCAGAAAGGTGGCTAATTGCATAATAAATATACAGAAATTAATACACCAGTTGATCAGTTAGAAAATATAAAAAAAGATCTCATTCACAATAGCAGTACTACTATTACTAATTTAAAAAGCAGTTAAATATAAGGGACCAAACTCACAAGAAACACAGGACCTTTAAAAAGAAAACTTTAGGCCTTGCAGATGCTGCCGCCACCCTGGATCTCTCTGCCCAGCCACGGCCAAGCCCACCCTGTTCTTCCCCATCCCTGCCAATGGTGAGCCCTTGGGCTGCATCTCCTTTGAGCTATTCGCAGACAAAGGTCCAAAGACAGCAGAAAACTTACATGCTCTGAGCACTGGGGAAAAAGGTTTGGTTATAAAGGTTCCTCCTCTCATGGAATTATTCCAAGATTTATGTGCCGCACGCCACAGTGGCACAGGCGGCAAGTCCATCTATGGGGAGAAATTTGATGATGAGATTTTCATCCTAAGCACACTGGTCCTGGTATCTTAGTCCATGGCAAATGCTGAACCCAACATAAATGGTTCCCAGTTCTTCGTCTGCACTGCCAAGACTGAGTGGCGGGCATGTGAAAGACAGCATGGATGTTGTAACAGCCATGAAGGGCTGTGGGTC